ATGAATAAACAACTTTCAGGTCATCAGCAAAAAGGAAAAGCTTGCCATACTGAAAAAGGGAACACACGTCTTTGATAAAAAGGAGAAAGAGTTATGGACCAACCACACTTCCTTGTATAACCCCACTGGCTACATTCACAGTTTTAGGGTAGCAAGATCCAAAGCGAACAATTTGGCTACGTTCTTCTAAAAAAGATTTGAGCCGAGATAAGAGGGGATTCTGTATGCCAAATGAAGAGAGTTTTAAAAGAAGTTTGTGTGAGACACTGTCGAAAGCCTTGCTAAAATCGAGGTAAAGAATTATCACTGACTGACCAACATCTCTTTTCTGGGTAATTTGATCAAAAAACTCCAGGTGCGATGTGACACGTGAGCGTTTAGTCATAAACCCGTGTTGGGATGGGCTGATCAGACTAGCCGAAAGTAAAAATGATAATAGCTGTTTGTGGATGATTTTTTCCATGGTTCTTGAGAGCACGGATGTCAAATTAATTGGCCTATAGTTAATAATATCACTACGTGGTCCTGTTTTGAATCTAGGGGTGATAAGGGATGTTTTCCATACAGATGGGTAGGTCCCATATTTTATAAATAGATTGAAAAGTTTCAAACAAAATAGTGGAAATTCTCTACTTTCATATTTCACAAATGGTGAAGGTATGCCGTCAGGTCCACCATCATAAGACTTTTTCAGGGCAGTTGTGGCCTGCTTGATGTTGGAAGGTGTAAACTCAATTTTCGACAGATGTCTGGAAGTCAGCATTGGAAAAGTAATGATGGAGTTTTCAGTTCCAGTTTTGTAGCACTGCGAGAAGTGCTTGCTGAATTGTTCGCATATAGTATTCGGGTCGTTAACAATGCTTCCGTTAACTATGAAGAATTTAGTCGTGCCAAGGGAATTTGACTTTACACGGAAGTATTGATAATTCTGGGCTCTTACTACGTAGAGCTTTATTTTCTATATTCATAAAATACTTACGTTTAGATGAAGCATTTCTGTTGATTAATTAAAGTATACTCTGAAGTGCATACACATCATTCTGCTCGTAGTAGCGGCATTTTAATTTCCTCAACTTCCTTTTAAAAGTATTTTGACCCCTATTAGCATTATAAGCCACACGGCCAATAACTAGAGCAGTGCAGTCAAGGCAATACATCAGGTTGTGGTATAAATTGGAAAGCGGAATGTCAACATTATTTGTGGTAAAATAAGTTTCCCATGGTAAACATCGAATGAGAGTTTCAGTCCGTTTCCATGTTTGTTGATCAAAATGTCTGCTTTGGTACATTAATGAAGCTTTAGAGTTCAGTTGTATGGCGTTTAAAGAGTGGATAATACTCAATACAACTCTACGGTCACTCATAAAAAACTCATGACTTGTATGCACTGAGATAGAGTCTATGTTGATTGTGAACATTACATCAAGTGTATTATTTCCCCTGGTCGCTTTTCGGACCTGTTGAACCCATCCACAAATTTCTAATGTTTCAACTAGCTTGTTATATCGACCTGGTACAGGAGTCAAGCCCCATGTAATTTTTGGCAGATTAAAATCACCTCCAATGATTTTAAAAGTATGCGGTTGGTGCGAAGCAATTGAAAAGATGTTTGTTAGTAATCTGTCAAACTTAGTATCCGCATGAGGTGGTCTATATATGCATCCCACCAGTAAATAATTTTGGGACCCACAGTTTACAGTAACCCAAGTGGAGTCGTCTATAGCATCAAGGGATTTATCCCCAAATTTGCATGCTTGAATGTCTGAACGGACATAGATAATTATACCGCCTCCTATTCCATAACATCTATCGGTTCTAAAGAAAACGTAGTTATCTACATTCAAGGAATGATCGGATATAGATGAATTACACCACATTTCCGTAATAAGTACAATGGTCGGATTTACAAGGAATAGAAGAGTTTTAAGATGAATAATTTTATTGGACAGAGAGCGGGCATTGAACGAAAGAATAAAAAACTCAGAGTTATCACAGTGAAGCAGATAAGAGTTACTAGATGAATTTTCGATTCGATTTTCTAGCCATATAAAATGATCTCTTACTAAATATATACAGCACCCTGAGGGACGAAAAGTGTTGCGCAGTGCAAAACCAAAGACTGGCAACTTGGATGTATTTGACTTCTAAGAGTAAATCAAAGAGATTCAAGAATACACTGCACTTTACATGTCTTATTTGCAGTTAGACCGACAACCGGATTTGTATCATTCGAACTCAGTCGTATTCAACAATAATAATTCAATTACTTATTGTGTGATACGTTCCTTCTAAGATGTAGATGCACGTCACACACAGTTGGAACAAAACGGTTTAATTCATCATTCTCATTCCTAGTGATCAAGCCATTGCCTTCTATATCACAAGCAATCCGAAAATGACGATTCCTTGTGAAATGGTTTTGTTAGATTTATGTGTCTATTCGTTTTCTATGTTTAGCAAGTCAAAAGAGCCTATTTGTTGGCAATAATCTGGAATCGATACCAATTAAATTATATGTGCAGCCCAAACAGTGATTAAGAAGTATCTAATACACCGGTGTTTCTACGCCGCCCACCATGGATACTTGTATCAGGTCGTCTTGCAATCTGAAGAACACTGAAACTATCCGTATCTGAATTTTTGGTCACTTTAGTATCAGTGCCATTCCCGAGCAAAAACTACAAACCAGAAGTCAAAACAACTGAAACACCAGTTTGATTCATAGTTTGTTCATATGGATGCTTAAATTTGTGTTCAGAAAGTCACTGTGTATGGTAATGGATGTCAATAACTATTAGTCTTCTCTTGGAAGTAAAATTTAGATTCTCGATACTTATATTCTTGTGCATTTGTTTCACACTTTTGCTTCTTATGAAATCGGTACCATCCGTTTCTTTTGCAAAATTATTTTTTCCTGATTTCCGCGCTACTAACAAATACTTTATCCAACCATCTTTCCTTCAGCCGTTATCATGTTTGCCTTTCGTTTGATTGGTTGTTTTTTGTTCTTAATTAATTTGCCTAAAATATAAAGGGAGAATAACTTCCTCCCACTGTCTGAGAAGAACATCAGTCAGAAGTGTTGCATGGTTAGTGAAAAAAAGTATTAGACAAATTGTTTCTTAAACTGAACGTGTTCATCAGCAATGTCAAACCAGTTTCGTCAGCGCAAAAGGCTACCAATACGGTTTAAAAAATCAATATAACTTAGTGAACATATGTAGAGACATGTTTGCCTCTAATGCGAAAATTTTCTTTACTCCGTAATCTCCCATGGATTTTCCTTATAGTAATTTCACGTATGCTCTCTAATAGCATAAAAAACTAAGATAATCTTATCACTAAGCTATGGATTCATTATATGGTGTGGATTCGACGTTGAATTAAATGGTCACGCAATCCCATTTCAACTCTAGTAGATGAAGACCGAATTATGTCAGTAAGTGGATTATATCGATTATAGTCAAGCATTTAATTGGTCGTTGGAACGGATTAACTTATAGATGTTCGTGGAATAACCAGGAAGATCATCTGTTTATGAAACAGAAGTCAATAATATTGTCTCGATAAGCAACCAAGTCGTTTAACCTAAAGAACCAGACACTAAAACTAAGACTAATCGAAGTTACAAGTTGAAAGATCGAAGAGACTAATCATGTGGTAGTTTTGCGTCAAAACGATTATATAGCATACTAGGAACCAAGCGTCGTAATCCTCTATAACGACATTTTGTTCTGAGTATAATTGTGTGCAGTATATGGAACAACGCGCGGTCATGTACACTGCGTTACATTTTCAAATTTTTAACGGTTATTCAGTTAGCTATGGAGCGTACAAACTGGACTATTGGTTAAATATAGAAAATTTCCATTGCCTGATTTAATTTTGAGAGACCGTTGGGTTTAGATTGATATAATGAATGGATCGGTTTTAGACCACCATTGAAAACATGAAAGCACTGGACGGCCGTTTTGTCGTAGTATGGGACTCCTCTGCAGTGTGCATCCGCGATTCTGAACAGAAGACTCGATCCCTGGACTCTCGGTCTCGCGTGAGAACGCTTAGTCTCTAAACCACTGACCCGGCACCCGACGGTGAGAAGCCGTGTTTATTAGTGTTAAACTGTATCTGTTGTGAGGTTGTTACCCACTGAAGACAATGGTGAACGGTCGCGCAATGTTGTGGATTGGTTGAAATTAGACGTTAACACCGTTAGATCCCGACTCAGTGGTCTGGAGTCAAAGTCCTATGAAAACACAACTCACTAGCTAGGAATGTTCTAGTTAATTCACATAAAAATAAAAGAAGACCTAGTACTAATGTACTCCATTTCACGCCGATAAAAACATGATACTTCAGAACTGAGCTCCAACCGATAAATCTAAACAGACTCAATACTAAGGAATGAACATATAGGTCAGATCACCGAATAGTTCATTACTAATAGACTCCTCTCTGAACACTCAGGAAGTTTAGATACAGCCCCCAGTGAGCAGTTTCGAGAGAAGTCTCGAAAATAATATACATACTCGACGTTTCCAGTCGTTGGTTAAGTGTACTCAGTGATGGGGAAAGATATTTCCAGACTTGTCGACATTGACTGCACCATCTTACACTTCATCCATTATTATAATTGTTATCTGTTGTCTTCAGTAACCCTCTACGTTCCACCCAGTCTCTTATCATTGCCATCTGACCGTCTTCTCTATCTGCTTATATATTTATTTCTACTCTTGACTAATCAGCAACTATAATAACCTATTTTATTTTGGATTCATATGATCATTATTTGTCCTTTCGCTCCAATCCCCGGAATTTAATATTACAACTAGTCAGTTGACCACCTTCAAATGTGATGACTGTTAGTTATGGTAACTCCAAGTTCCTAGAACAAGTGCACAGATTTATACATACCACTGTTAAAATAACCACCATGTTCATCACGTAAAATCTACTTATATGATGTCAGGGACATGGAACAATACCCAAGTACTTGGGCGCGAACTCAAAGAAACCAATTGATTTACACTCACTCGCATCAGAGGTATTGGAAATTGAAAGACCTTTGAGCATTTTCAAGGTTTTGCAGAACAATTTCCTTTTAAGGTATGTTGTGAATTTTATTGATTTCTCAGTACTATTACATGCAATTCCCATAGTTTTTAAGTTTCTGACATTGATAAACAATAATAAATGCTGTTTTTTGTTGTATGCATGATGTAATTTCGATTTTGGCATTAACAGAGAGGTTGTTTACAAATTGATTCAGCATCAGCTTTTATTGTACTGTCCTCAATCTCCTAACAGAATTGTAACAATGGCCTTAGCATTTCGCCACAGCCAATTTACTTTGTGTTTAATCAACTCCGAGTTCCCCCGTTCTTGAGGTAAAACTAACTAGCGAAAGTTCAGTTCATTAAACCTACACGAAATATAGTTACAATTCATTTAGTTGCAAGTTTATTGGCGGATTTTCCATTTTTTGGAAGGGCGGTCTCTATGTGTGTGAAATCATTCCCATCGTTTTATTTATATTTGTTTCTTATTTGAACACATAAACAGTGGTACAATGATGCACCATACAGATATCCGCCACACAAATTACTTGATTTGTGTGAGGGCTGTGATACTGTCCAGGCGCCCAAACCGAGACAGATGGCTTTCTTAGGGGGCCGCTCCTCGAGGCTTTGACCTGAAGATCTATTCCACAAAATAGTGAGGCGATGTTAGGAGATACGGTCTCACGATAGCCGGTAGCCAACAATAGGTTCATACGCCATTTGCTTCCTTAGGATCATGGAGTCAATGTTCACCATTGGTTTGAAATCAAAGTTTTCCAACTCACCAACTCGATTAAAGCGCCGGACATTCGCTTTTCGTCCCCTCGATTTTGTTAGCAACAGTCATGCCGTGAGAAGGCAGTGAATAGGATTTTCCTGGCAGTGATTGTATGCACATGGCCATGTGAGAGCACTTAGAGAAGGAGAAATGACTCCCCCACTCTCTGCCGTACCAGCGCATTTGAGGGCAGAAGCAGACACGCTGTTTTTTGAGATCACAACTAACTTGTATGAAGTATAAAGACGAAACTATAATTTATGAACGAACCAATCAGGTATAAGATGACAGGTCTCGGATTTCGGTGCGAAATTCAGCCACCCATTTGGCCATGTAGAGTCTTGGCGTTATAGCTGATGTCAGTTCGTGATGAAAACTCTAAATCTAATTCCTAACCATTAACTGTAAACCATAATTTTAATTCCTCACACCGGTTTATAACCTTCACTTAATCTTAGTTGTTAGGTGCACACTTTCAAGGTCACTTTTGCGCCGCTCAAGGGTCGTCCATAAATTATAGTCTCACCAATATAATTCTTGGAATCATCTCACCGTGATGTGTTACTAGGTCCACCAGTACTTTGGGAATCTTATACAAAAGCGTGTAGAATTAGTGCATATAGCACCGCTCTGTATTATGTCCCAAATTAACAATTTTGTCTCCCCTTATATTTCATGTGAATTATGTTATGGAGACAACTTTGAAGAAAGTACACAATTTTTGTTTGCATCTATTACCTGAGGGATTATATTTTTCGGTTTTTGGACACACATACGATGTTAGATGTATAACGACACAGCAACTACTCAAATCCCACCTCATTAGCATATGTATGATGTCACTTCGTTCCATCAAAGTGCAAAGTACTCAGCAAAGTTTGCATAATCCTATGCTCACACTCAAGCTTGCTAACAAACAAGGATTATTTGATAGGACATTTGTTTCCACAATTTTGTTATCAGGCTATACAGTCATAAATAAATAATAATTATATTATGGATTATATTCGTATGTATTCGGTACCCCCTTGTACCAATATTTATGTGTTCAAATAAATAAATAAATAACAGCTATTACTACCATCTTACTATTAGTTGGAGCCCAGGGACATAGAACTCAAAATATTTAGTCTGGTCATATGTCTAGCTGTGAATTTCATCAAGTTTGTTAGTAAAAATATCCACTTAACCTTTCATGTAATGTTTTTAGGTGAGTTATTTGTTGTATTTCTTGGTTACTGACTCCGAGTAGGTCATCAGCATATGGATATACGATAAATAAATCGCGTGAAACTTAGTCGATTAAACGTCTGATGATGTGTAAGCTATTAAGTATTACCCATTGCCAGACTTTAAAACTGTACTGTTGTTGGGACTGGTGAACTTTTCCCGCATTTCATTCCTAGCTGCTCTGTTATACTACAACCGCTAACTGACTATTACGAGGTCTCTCATGCCCATTACACCTGTTAACAAAAGCTATTCAACTGTTTTAAAACATTAAAAACGCAATAAACTGACGCCAGTAGTTCAAAGAAATGGTGAAGAAATTTCGACAATCACGACTAATGCCTCTACTGTTTTCACTAAAGCAGTACTGCTACAACATGTGAATAAAGACTGGAAACCACTTGCACTCAAACAAGATATAATACCATTGGAGGACAACTTTTGGCTAACAACCTAGTAATCAATAATTTTCATTACGATGTTTATTGACCATAAGACCTTAATCAAACCTTTGTTAAGAAATACTAATTGATATGGTCTACCCGAAGTACATCAACTATAATTCATCTCATAACTCACATCCTATATCCATTTCGTAAAATGTGCTAAAATGGAAGTAGCAGACGCTAATGTGTGCAGAGAAACAAAGAAAACCATGAAAGAGCGGAAACTTTCTGGAGACGGTTTTCCAAAAATGCTGACATTTAGTTTTTCCCCTACTTTATTCTATAAATCATAAGCTTTCATTTGATTTATGACTCACTGCCATACCCTTTTCTATAATTGTAATTTAAACGTAACCTTTTGTCCTCCATTTTTCTGCCCAGTTTGGACATTATTGTATTTTTATAATTGTTTGTTCATTTTGGTCATGTTAGTCATCTGTTTATTCATGTATCTTTTTACACTAATCTGGATTGGAAGTCGGAAATAAATCGAGTATTGTTTCACTTGACTCGTCTTCTTTCTCGCTTGTCAAGTTTTCGTATCTCCCTAAGGCCGCTAGTCTCAATTCAGGCCCACACAATTCTAGCCTCAAAGTTAAACCAATCAAGGTCTTAGCATAAATCGAGACAAGTTTTCTCCTGTATATTATTGGGTAGACAGATCAATGACGTAACAGAATCCTTATGGAAGATAGCAATAAACACCCTCACTTCAGCTAAGATAGATTACGGCAAATTATCAATGTTACAACCGGCTGAAAACGAGCTATCTAAACTCTGACAATTCTGACCGAATTCCCTAATTTTTGACGAGGCACATTTCAATAATGTTGAGATAATATGCAACATCTTGACATGTTGGTTTTACTCAATCTATTGCATTTCTATATTTTAAATTATTAAAAATTTCAAGAAATTATATGATATATGACTGATACGCATCTAAATCAATCTACGGGCTTCTGACATAACGCAGACACTGGCAGTTGCCCGAACTAACCGGACTCATTGTTTGACAAATTCATTTCGTAAATTTTAACTACTTGTCTAAGTAGCAAGAACAGGGGAAATTAATGTGTAATGATCGGTATAATAAAATGGCTAAATATATTGCCGAAAAGTTAAACATTTCACCTCTCTACTCAGGATTTGAACTAATAACTTTGTTGGGAAATGTATCATGCCCTTAAATGCTCTGATACGGTCGAGAGTGGTGGGGGCATGGTATAAAACCACTGCCAGGAAAATCCTATTCACTGCCTTCTCACGGCATGACTGTTGCTAACAAAATCGAGGGGACGAAAAGCGAATGTCCGGCGCTTTAATCGAGTTGGTGAGTTGGAAAACTTTGATTTCAAACCAATGGTGAACATTGACTCCATGATCCTAAGGAAGCAAATGGCGTATGAACCTATTGTTGGCTACCGGCTATCGTGAGACCGTATCTCCTAACATCGCCTCACTATTTTGTGGAATAGATCTTCAGGTCAAAGCCTCGAGGAGCGGCCCCCTAAGAAAGCCATCTGTCTCGGTTTGGGCGCCTGGACAGTATCACAGCCCTCACACAAATCAAGTAATTTGTGTGGCGGATATCTGTATGGTGCATCCTTGTACCAATGTTTGTGTTTGAATGAACAATAAAATAAATAAATTTATCATGGTTCGATTGAAGTTAGACATTAACGCTGTTGGATCCCGGCTCAGTGGTCTAGAGGTTAAGTGTCTGCGCGGTAGACTGAATGTTACGGGCTCGAGTCCTTCGTGTGGAATCGTGGATACTCACTGCTGAGGAGTCCCATACTAGAACGAAACGACCGTCCAGTACCTCCAGGTTTTCAAAGATGGTCTTGCTTAGATTTGGCCGTAAATTAAACTTTGAAAATATATCTCAACTAAGAAATATTTCAGGTCATGCGTACAATTAGGGTTTCATAGTATGGAATATTAATTTACAGTTTTGGTTTCTGTTACTACTTGACACATTGTGACTAGCTATTTGTTGTTTGATATTGGTTTTTTACATACTACACCAAAGCCTTAAAGATTTCATGTTTTCTTTCACTTTTTTAGATTCATTTTCTATGACAGGAATTCATTCATTTTTAAGTTAATTCTACTTCTACAACTACTACTGTTTTTGTATGCAAGTGTTAATTAGTACGGTAAACAATGGCCAAAGATTTATTCGCAGTCCTACGACAGGTAAAACAATTCATTATTGAACAATAATTTTTATGAATAGAATAACGAACTACCAAATCTTCCATCATCAGAAGAAGCCGTCGTAGTAGATGGTGGTTCTCAAATGGATCTTTTCTTTAGTGAAGTATTTCAACTATCTATGTTAATGTAATCGTATAAAATCAAAATTTCTTTTTAGGTTGAATGGATTCGAAGAGAAATTGAAAAGACTCGCATAGAAATAAGTCAAGTTAAAACAAAACATGGTGAAATTTTGTCAGCACTTCAACAAAATCCAAGTGAGTAAAAACTCGAAATAATACAACACGCATTATTTATCTGAGTAGTATAAAAATAATCTTGGATTTAATGAAGTTTTTAAGAGGATAACTGAACTTTGTGATAATTCCTTTGATTTTTATCTTGTTAATGTTTTCTCTTTATACCCGGTATAAGACATAATATCTTAAAATGAGGCACATTTTTTTTCCCTGTTCTACATCGTTTTATGATTGACCAACTGAGTTAAGGTATAAATTGACTTCTTTTATTGTTGAACAATTTCATTTTCAAAAAAATAATATCATTATTGTCATTGTGAAATAAATCCTAATAAGGTAAGTGGGCCCATTCGAAAGGAACTAGAAGTTTTTCCTATTATTCTTTCAACAAAAATTTGTGTAATTTAACTTCTGTACCATTTTGTTTCAACTTGTCTTGGATTAGGTTTTGTTTCCAACCCATTCTTATTTTCCTTTGGGACAAATCAAATGAATTTTATTGATCGAAATGTGTTGTATATAAAAGAATGTAACAGAATAGTATGTATATTAACGATTGCGTTTTGTCTCAGTGCTATAAACATTTTAGTGTCAGCCATTGAGTTATGATTTATAGCACATGTCCTTGAAATAATGGAGATTTTTGTTGTGATGGGCGGTGTCCAAATGTCTGATTCCGATACACGGTGTGCTACGCACTAACCCCTTAAACTGACTACCTTGAAATAGAACACAAGAATGAGCGGAAAATTGTATTGGTTACCGAATAAAATTCACAAATACTCATTCACATATATACCACTATAATCTTTATGAAATTGATCCATTTTCTGCCAATGAAATGCCCTTTTCCTTTAGGTCGCTTCTGATTGTCATCGATTGACCTTTTCACTAAACTACTTCTGCAACTGTAAGCTGAATGTTTTTAGTAGTGTTGTCTTCTCTGAACTGGATAGCTTGGTTGCGGAGCGTTAATTATCGTTATGGATGATATCAGTTCCTTTTTTTATTCAGCAATGAGATTTTTTTAGTTACTCCATAAGCGTCATATCAGTTGTTTTGATGATTTTGTTTTTAATTAATAGTCTTCTCAGATTTTATTGTCTTCACTTCTTACGTTCATATTGGCTGTCTTCTTTGGTTGACTTCTCACTTCGTGGCTGACTGACCGTTTTTTTAATGGGATGGTATGTCAGATTCATGTTTATATGCTTATCGATTGCTAGTTGATCTAAATGATATGCTCCTAGAAATTCTTTTACATTCTTATAGCTTCTATGATCCGAAATTCCAACACTTTTCCAATGAAATTTATTTTCATGGTTATCCGCGTGAATATCATGCTGCTTCACTACTTATCTATTGATACATGTACTAATCGTATTACAACTTTTGCCTTCGATATTTTGACACATTTGGTTGGATCACATTTAAAGTTAATGCATAGTAGTGGTTAAACGATCCAAATGATTAACGTTCAGTGGAGTAAAACTTTAGATAGCTGTGGCGTAGTTAGAGCATGTGACTTTCAGTCAGTAAGCCTTAAGTTCGGACCCCCATACAACTACTTTGATTTGGGTAGCCAGGTAATATCATTTTTATTCACATGTAAACAGTATGCGGTCCAATACCTTTAACTTAAAACCTCTTTTATTTTCCACTGTTAGCCACTATTCATCTTGAATGATAATTTTGTGACTAGATGGTAACACTGAGGAAATCCTTCCAGGGTGCAGACGTGTTAATCATTTGCAGTCCTTAACACATCAGCAACGGGAAACTACAAGGACTTGCAAATAAAATCCATACACATTGCACAAACTCTTGACTACCCGGAATCAATAGATCAACAGATAATGCGTTAGCGTTTGGAGCGAAAGATGCTGGGTTTATGTGTTAATGTGAACATTAACACTGATATTTAAGTAAATGCAGTCGGCGAGGCCCAAATTAGGCCTCAAAACGCCTTGATACAACCAAGGGTAGGGAGAATTCGTTCTCGCTCCCTAAATGCTCTTACATGGCCACGCGTATTTACTCATTTTCAGGGAAGTTCTAATCATTGCCTTCTCTCAGCGGGGTTGTTATTTACAGAAATGAGAGAACGGAAAGCTAATATCCAGTGCTTTAACCGCGTTAGTGCGTACGGAAGACCAAAAAGGCGTATGAACCTATTGTTGGTCACCAGCTACCATGGGACTGCATCCCCTAACGTTGCTACACTATCTTGTGGATTAGACCTCTAGGTCAAAGGTTCTGTGTGTGGTCCCATAAGAAAACCACCTGCTCCGGTTTGGGCACTCGGAAACTATCACAGCCTTCACAAATCAATGATAACTACTACTGGCCACATTGCTATTGCGTGACGCATATGTTCTTGGTGCCCCTTTTTACCAATGTTTATGTGTTCAACTTTAAGAACCAGAAATATTTGTCGATGGTGATGTTATTGGCTGATCACCAGGTCGAAGTTATACTCGTTTCTTTTATTGATTGAGTAAATACTGTTTTGTGTTTCAGCAAGTGTCTTTTTATTAAATTAAACTCCACTTACAAGCAAATTGATTATACAAAACTATAGTACATGTCAATCTAATTTCTTTCATATGCATAAATCAGGTGATATTCATTTACTTTTTCGAGATAAATGTGTATTGTTCACAAGTTCTACCAATATATTTTCCAAAGACATAATGAGACTAAAGTATACATAATTCTTTGTCGTACGTACGGATCAAATTTGCATCCAAATGATATTAGAATAAGAGTAAGACTATTTAAAATAACTAGATTTCTGTCTAACATGCAAACCATTTAAAATAATGAGGCTCTTTGATAAGATTTTGCGACTCAAATCATTTTCAATCGTATTAATTCATTAGAGATCGAGATCATTTTTGATCACAGAATAATACTACCATATGTATATCAATGATTAAATGAGTTATTAACGCTTGAATAGTTAATGACGATCGATCACAATGGCGTAGGTGTATACACTCTTTATCTTCCTTTAAACTATAAGATTAAAATCGCTTCTTATCTTTCTACGAACTAATTCTTTCTTCCTGCACTATGTCCTTATATGCAATCTTTCTTTTATATATTACCACCACTAAATTAACTACTTTTATGAATTTGGTGCTCATTTTGTTGTGCTAATGAGGTATGGCAACTTGAACCGATGCACATATATGCCTGGTCCTACGTTATAGCTGACTGACTGACTGACTGATAGAATGGGTTATTTGATTTAGTAAGATGATTATTTTTTTTACACTGTACTGTTATTAAAACAGAAACAAGATCGATAACTTCTAAAGTGCTAATTAGTTTCAGGGTGCGAAATTATTTACACACGATAACGGAAATTTCACATTAGACTTTTTAAAAAAAAAACTTACGGTAAAAATGTATTAGAAATAGGAATAGTATTTTATATTCAACTATTTGTTGTTCCGTTAAATGAACCTGAGTTATTATCATGATATTTCTGTATGAAAATTACTGATTACCATCCGTCATTGCATTTGTTAGACAATGGTAAACATACTTAGAAATTATGATCACATTTTACACCATAAATATTGTTGCCATAGTAACAGTTACTTTCTGTCTGGACGTTTTTTTAATTATTCACTTTTTGATATAATAGCAAAATAAGAATATTTCTGTTTATCATGGTATGATATTATAATACAACCTGTACCTGAGATTATATCACCACTAAACTGACTGGATAGTCAATCAATATGATGTACACAAACTGTGATTATATTATACTAGATGCAAGACTCACGATCAAATATAGAAAACTAGCGCATACTTTGTTCAATATAATTGCAAGCAGTTTAAAATTAATAAAGTCTGTAGTAGAAAACAATAACAGAAAGGAATTCACATATTAAAGAGGTTACTGAACGGATTGTCTGTTCGTCTGTCAGCCTATCCTTCGCTCATTGGCCGATTATATCTTAGTTTCATTGATCACACGCGCTAACTTTTTATGATGAATAACTTATTTTCAAGTTATTTTTTTCTTGATTAATTTGTGTTATCTACTAATTCACAAGTTCAAAACCTGTTTCACCTGCTTAGATTTCAGCAACCGGGTAGTATCATTAGTTCTTACAGTTAGGGTGTAACTCAAAGCTAATTACATGGTAAATAAGTTAATAACAATAATCATCATTTTATCTTCTTTGTTATTTGACATACAATGTTTTCTTATGTAGAAAACAATCAAACTGAAATTGATGAATTAAAGTTTGATAATCTCGAAATCTGGGCATTTACAAATTAGAAATAACATAATATTGATAGTAATCATGTTCTACTAGTCCGTTTGAATAGTTAATAAAGAATAACCATGGGAAGTAGTACACTCGTTAGTATCATGTGAATTAATGATAGTCAAATGTTCATTCACTGTATGATATATATATACTATTTGGGACTAAATATGGGTTACAAAGCAGTATGAAGAATTAGAATTATGGTTTACAGTCTATGGTTAGAGTTAGGAATTATATTTATGGTTTTCATCACGAACTGATATAAGTTAAAATACCAAAATGCTATTTACTCAAATGAATGGATGAATGAATTTCGCTCCAAAATCTAAGACTTATTATCCTAAATCTAATTGGTTCGTTCATAAATTATAGTCTTGCACCCTCACCCCTTAACCTTTTTTTATTTCTATTATCATTTCCTAAAGATATCCATTAAGTATATTAATCAGTAATAATTATAATTTCTAATAACACTTCACTATTCTTCTTTTTCTTTTTAAATCATAGAAACAAAAACACAACTAGAAGAATTAAATGAGAGTATTACACGTTCAGCTAAAGAAATTCGACTTAAGCTAAAATGTAAGTGTGTATATATTCTGTTTTTTGATCATTCATTTTCATTTATCTTTTCTTTTAAATTTATTAATTTATAGCATGAATTAATTAAACTGGGTAATATGATATGACATGATTTCCATCGAACCAAATTACAGTAATAATAATAATAATAATAATAATAGTAGTAGTAGTAATAATAGTAATTTAATGGTTGATTTCATATGTGAATTGAAGCTAGACCACCTGGAAGCACTGGACGGCCGTTTCTTCCTAGTATGGGACTCCTCAACAGCGCGCATCCACGACTCCGCCCCCCGCGAGATTCGAACCCAGGACCTATCAGTCTCGCTGAGTTGGCATTCAACGGTTTTATTGTCTAACTTCAATCAATCCACGAAGTTGCGCCACCGTCCACTATTGTCATCAATGAGTTACTATCTCACAGTAGATCCGGTTGAACTTCACTGGTCACGGTTTCTCACTAGAACTCCAGGAAATACCTGTTGGAAACAGTCACTAGTGAGCATATAATGATTGTAATCAGATAAAGGTTTTTGTGGATATTATAGTAATTTAATGGTTTAATTCATGAGTCAATTAAAGCGGGATCGTGGATGTGCACTGCTGAGGAGTCTCACAGTAGGACGAAATGGTCGTCCAGTGCTTCCAGATTTTCCTTGGTGGTCTAGCTTCAACTGACTTATGAATTCAACTATTAAATTACTATAATATCCACAAAAATCCTTTCCTGATAATGATGATAATAATAACCTTTATTCAGTACTATAAATTTCGCTACGGTAAAGTATCCTCATGATCACTTGTGTTAAATTGCAACAAATTTATATTTGAAAATAATACTTTTTAACCGTCGGTACCTTCCACTAAGTATTCGGTCGTTTTTCTTATCAGTTCATTTGTTATAACTACATTTTTCATCCATCATATATATTTATAAGGTACTTGAATTCCAGTAGGTTTGTTTCTTGTTTTAATCAAAAGATACTTAAAAAAAAAATACGCCAAAGACTATAGTTTTTCTGTTTGAGTTTTACAGTATTTATCATCATAATGATGATAGCAACCGATGGTTAGAGACCCTGAGTGACATGCCTCAAAATCGTTTGCAATGGCGCAGGTGCATCCACTCTTCGTGTTCTCCCAAATTCTAATCTTCTGAATTCTTCATGTCCCTTTTTTCCTCTTTCCAAATTTATTTCACTGGATTATACCCTTTAAATAACATCTCCAAACCCTAATCTTCCTGATTACTCTTGCTACCTCTACCACTACGGGATTTGAATCGACAACTGCATCTCTGTGCTAAGGTGGTGTGGCAACTCGAACTGATGTACGTACGTACAAAGTTCTACGTTGTGACTGACTGACTGAGTTTGTTATTGGCATATGTGCATCTGGTGCGGATTGCCTTGATATTGCCTTAAGTCACAAATGTTATAAGCAAAGATGGTTGGTGACTAGCAGTGAAATCCAGTACGCGCGTTTCATCCTGTTTAGGACTCTTCAGCTAGATGTACCTGCTAGTCACCCCATTGCACAACCTAGTGGCTATTAGGATTCAGTAGCTAAGTGAATAACTCGATGGTGTTTGAAGCGAACGGTATTGGGTTCGAGTCTCGGAGTGGACATCAACTCTGGGATGCAGGCATATCCAGCTGATAAGTCCCAAATAAAACGAAACGCGCGTCTTGGATTCCACTTCTAGTTACCATCCATCTTTGCTTAGATAGTTTGTTGAAAAATAAGTGGACCGGAAAAATTGAGCTGATCATAGCGCCAACTAACAATCAATAAACAAGTACTAATAGATATGAATATATCCTAGTAGCCTAGTATCTAAAATCCAAAGAAAGATGAGTAGTAACAGAGTTATAACAGAATAAACATTGTAGAGGTTGGAACTGTTTCTTCGAATTATTAGTAATTATAATTTTGTGGTATTTGTTAGTATTTGTTAAAGAAAGTTCTGTTTTATGGTATTAAGTTGTAAACCGTATGTTCACTCTTCCTTCCCTTGGGTTTGGAAGAGGCAGTAACCGTAGACGGGTTCCTGTTATATATATATATATATATATATATATATATATATATATATATATATATATATGCTCTGATTTCCGTAATGTTCTCTTATTTATTTTGAAACTCCACTGTCACTATCAACTAATTAGTCATAAACAAAATAGAAACTGGCTCAGATGTGTATCGGTTTAAGCTGAAAAATCATCGCCCACAGAAATGAAAGTATCAGGGCATACTATCGTATTAGATGTTATAAAAGTATCAGTGGTAGTGAAAAACACTAGACTTAGTTTCATAGTGTTCAGTTTTTTAGAGCAAATTATTTTTATAATGTCAGACGCTTAATGTAAACACTGATCAATAACACGATATATGGCCGAACCAAATTATATAACAAATACAAAGGGTTAGGAAAGTACATATTACAATTCACATATATTTATCTGTTCGTAACCGTTAACTAATCACAGTCCACTCTTATCGGACATATAACACAGAAAATGTGATTCTGAAGAAATTAGTGAATTTGCAGAATGAAAATCGTGAAGTGGTTTTGAAACTTTTGATCTAAGCAATGACAATAGATTTTGAGTTTTATAGCCCAACAACCCCAGATATTGAGTCGCTATAGTCGCGCGGACCTCAAAGTAGTTGTCTACACCTACCTGCACAACCCAATCCCACAGTTTGTAACTTCATGGACTGATGTCACGTCTTCTTTTGACCATCTATAGTCTTTTTCCAACCTATTGCTACCCTAGCCGACATGATGAATGGAGGCAGAGGTTGGTTGGGCTTGCGTAGCACATGTTCTTACTACTTCGGTCGTTAAAGATTCACTTCACCAAATGATTTTTCATTGACTGTTTATGTTAACATTTCTTTAGCTTTGACTTGTTCAATCATCAGACTGTAATTTTACTCAATTTTTCATTGAAAATTACACAATTTATGTCATGAGAATATTCCTGATGATATAAAATCCGTTCTAAATTGACAAAGTCTGTTACTGACAGACTACTGAATAAAAATAATCTATTTCAATTTGATCGAAGGATTGCAGTTGTGTGAAACATTTTGAATGTTGTACGAATTTATCGATAAAACTAAAATACGTTGTTAGAAAATTTAGAAAACGCTGATTTAGTTTAGATGGTGGTTGGAGGTAGTCAACAGGAAACCCTGGACCCGGGTTTCATGCTACTTGGCACTCGTCAGCAAGGTGTACCTGTAATCTTGAGGGCCGAGTCACCTAGACTGGTGGCCACATTGCAAGATGATCGATAGCATTCGATCTGCACTAATAAGGACTAGAAAAGCATGAGATTGATCACCACCCAGTGATCAATCAATTGTGACGCTGATTTAGTGTTCACTGGGTTCACTGATCACATAAGAATTCCTATACGTTATACAAACTGTACTGCGTGTTGTTGTTATCATGCGTCATTCTGAATTTCAACTCACTTTCTGTTTGAGATGGTGGTAGTCTTCTTTTCTATGATGATGATGGTGATTTATGAATATCTACTAGTGTGACGTTTAAAAACTCTAGACTTGAATGACTTCTGGTACCATGATTAGCTTTTGAATAGTTTTATTGATTGACTTTTAAAATATCGCTTCCAAACAACACAACATATTCTCAATAAAAGTTATATGGATAATCAACTTACCTGTGTTTTAAATTATAACTAGATTTCATATGTATATGGTAGGTGAATACCACTTATTTTTATGGTTATTTCAATGGATGTGTAGCCACTTGTGGAGACACTTAAACGAAGTATTTTACGTACTTGCCTTTTCTTTTTGTTCTCAAAGTTAAAAATAAGACAGTTTCAAGTGTTGTGCTACGTGTAACAAAAAATGAATTAATTTTTCGTATAATGAAAACGGTTTATGAAAAGTTAGATGAAAGAGTAATATATATATATAATGACTAAATAATATTAACACCAAGATTACTTCATTGCTATATTCTTCGCATAAACTAATCTATTTAACAGATTGAAATCATGAGTCAGTTGAAGCTAGACCACCATTGAAAACCTGGAAGCACTGGACGGCCGTTTCGTCCTAGTACGGGACTCCTCAGCAGTGCGCATCCACGATCCCGCACCACGCGGGGCTCGAACCCAGGACCTGCCGGCTTCGCGCGCGAGCACTTAACCACTAGACCACTGAGCCGGCATCCAACGGTGTTAATGTCTAACTTCAACCAATCCACGAAGTTGCGCCACCGTACACCATTGTCTTCAGTGAGTTCCTATCTCACAACAGACCTGGTTGAACTCCACTGGTAACGACTTCTCACTAGAACTCCAGGAGTGTCTCCTGAAGTCAGTCACTAGTGAGCAGGTGATTATTATTATCAGAATGGGTTTTGTGGAGTCTCATACTAGGACGAAACGGACGTCCAGTGCTTTCAGGTTTTCCATGGTGGTCTAGCTTCAACTGACTCATGATTTCAATCTGTGAAATTTCTAAAATCTCCACAAAACCCATTCTGATACTAATCTATTTAAGTTTGAAAACAGAAGAAATATTGCATGACTTTGATATGCTTAGATGCTATTACGAGTTCATTTTACTCGGTAAACGGGAAAGAAGGTCAAAGATACAGTGACACGATAGGCTATTCTAATCCGTTGTCCCCGGCCTTGCTAACGAGATCAAGAAGTCTTGATGAGGCGTAGAGAATGTATTCTACAAGCACCTAGAAAATACGAGGTCACTAAGCACACAAATCAAGCACATTTATACAATGATATAAAAGCCCTTGGGAGAGTCACAAAATAGCGTACTAAAAAAGGTCAGTCAACTAATGACAGTCGAGTGTTTATGAGTGGGAAATGTAAGCTGTAGGTCAACTAAGCGTCTCTTGGCGAGAAAACATAAAATTCAAATTTTCAAAATAAAATTACAAAATTAGGATCTTTTCCAAGTGAGTTCTGGGTATCTAACGTTCTCAACAGACGTATGTCAGGGTTTATTTATAGCTATTATTCTCCTTCTCATATGTCTTCTGAGTTTGCATCTTGAAAAATGCAGGTCTCATAGCCATTGATCCACTGTAAAACATTTGAGTATTCCCTCGATACATAACTGAACAACACAGAAACCAAACACAATATTAATACACTGTTTAAAAAAATTTTCATTACAAATTGAAATAAATTTAAAAAACAGTTGAAATCCAGGGAGAAATGCACATATATCTCGTACTGTTTTGGAACTCCTTGGCAATGTGTATTTTACAGCCTATATATCCATAACTGTACTAAGGACTTTTATACCTCAACAAAAACGATATGATTGTGTCAAAATCTGAGTCCACCTTTTTAAATGATAAGTTAGCTTGAAATACCATACTTCGATCTCGCGGTCATCATTTTCCTTACAACTCCAGTCAAGTAGGCAATGAAGACAAATTTATAAATGACACTAAATCAAGCCTTTCTTATGACATAAACCGAGTTAGATTAAAGTATATTTAGCGCTCAGTTTCGCTGTAATTTAATTTTAAAGTGATTTTTTCTTTCAACTTCACTGTTTTGTTTTCGGAGGCTACCGAAAGTTTACATTGTCATTGAGTCTTGAATTTGATAGCAAAGGTTCTGTTCTGTCAAAACGGTCTCAAGTTGCTGAGTGATTAGTGTCTTGGATACTGTCACTCAGTATAAAATACGATAAGGGTTTTTTAAAATGACATGTCGTTTAAACAGCCTTCTATGTTTACGCCCTCATGTAGATCGGAAAACAGAGGTTTTTCTGTGTTTTTGGAAATTTTAGATATCAATCTCTTTCTCTCACTTAAAACACTTATTCAAGATTTTAGTCTAGTATTACAAATTTCCTCTACATCTGCGAATTTCCAAGCCTTCCTCGATATACACTTATCTGAAGACCCCTTAGTATCGGGTTCATTGTGAGTAATAGAGTGAAGTCAGAACTGATTAATTGAATCACCACTAATTTGGAAGGTTTTATAATACAAACACAGGTTAACCTCTGACTGTAGTCATATTTATTGACCTTAAGGCAAGATCTGATATCGTCAGCCGATAGGCTTTTTAGTATTATTTTTTGACGGGAGGTGTCCTCAAAATATTTATGAACCTTCTAAATGTTCTATGCTCGAACAACTGTAATTAGATCTGAGCTTATAGTGAACTATCATCGTCATTGACTTGATCAATACCAAGTTCATATCTACCTACCCATCAACGCTGGAATGTAGGTAATCCGGCTTATGCGTCCTAGATTGAGTAAAATATGTTTTGGATTCCATTTTTAGAAAATGATCAAAAATATACTTAAAATAAGAATTTTTAAAACGTAGACCAATCCATTTACGATAAAAAACATCCTTATTGATGCCGGATGATTTAGCACTCAACTCATAATCCTTCAGTCACAAACCGGAAACTCGACTACACTTCAATTTTGACAGTTTATAACACTTTATTTGTAGAGAAAGTGGTTGACTTTAAATTCATTTATAAAATTAGATCGAAATTGTTTAATTTTTCAAATTATCCTTTTCGACCGTTCTCATTATCAGTTTTGTTTTTATTTATTTATTACAAATTTCCAAATAGCATTGGAACAAACAATCAGAGAACAAGAAGCTAAAGATGCTACATCCGCTGATTTACGTATTCGTAAAACTCAGGTAAAAAAAGGAATGGTATATTTTGTGAATACATTCATTATTATTCTATTTAAGTAGTATATTATTAAGGAAAGTAAGAACAATTCAGGGTGAAGAGAATTTTCTGGAAGTGAGATTTTAATTTACCAAATTTGTACAGTCGTATTGATGATAGCCAGTTTCAAGTTGGAAATAAAATGAAACGATTGTCTTGGATCTTACTGCTAGCCATATTTCGTCTGTTCCATATCGATCGTATTTGTGGTTATTTTACTATATAGCAGTGTCTTTGTTTTGTCTGCCCACTATTTTGTGCTTGACATGAAAGGAGAGAGATTTGTCTTGATCTAGTTTACTTTATTGATGTGGTAGGTTACACAATACGACCTTGAGACTTGTAACTTGTGAATCTCGTTTGTGACTGGATGACCTTGAGAATGGAGAGGAAAACTTTCCTACCACTGACCTATGACCTGGCAGGTTGATAAGCGGAGAGAGAGTTGATCTAGCTGGTATTGTACATCCGGTTTAATCCTGATTTCTCTAACTTAGAATAGCTACACGAGTAAATATATGGTCAACAAGACAACAACGCACAAAGAATGAGGAAAATATGAGTCTATTCAAGCTAATGTATTAGAGTAAAATAATGAAATACAAAGGGTCACATGTAAATCACAGTAATTTTGAAATAGAAATGAATTTGCTAATAATTCACACAATAAACCAGAGCTTATAATTAATAGAATAAAGCAGGCACAAAACTAAATATTAGTACTTTGTGGATTTCGAATTAAATGGGGCAGTGTTCAAAGTGGTAGCCTTTATCGGGCCCAGTAACTTCAGATCTCGTGGAGAGCAGCTGATATTTAAAATACTAAGTTTGCATTTCTAACATCAGTCAATCCGTGATATTGTCCGGTCGTCTTCCACTGGCATTAGTAGATAGTTCCCTCCCACCCTACATGGTTGAGTTCCACTGGCCACTGGTTATCATTAGAACTTTAGGTATTAACTTTCAAGATTAGTCGTTAATAAGTACATGGTAATGATCGATATAGGGGTTTACGAAGATTGTTAAATCCCATAGTTTATATCATGGATTGACCGTAGACAATTAGCCACTTAAAGTACTGAAAGATAGTTGTACAAAATCACGAAATAATTGAAGTTAGAAATGTAAATCATTAAGGTTAAGTACTCACCTCTAGTCCTGGAGGTTCTGGATTCGAGCCCCGATGACGCTGTAGATGCTCATTACTGAGGTTTCTTTAATAAGCTAAAAGAGTTGTTCAATGTTTCCCAGTTTTCACTCGTTATCTAAATTTGGTCATTTCTTGATGTGTATTATGAAATTCAATAACCTCCACAAACTGCTATGCTGATCATGGAACTATTGATTAATTTGCATTCTTCATTCAAGTACCATATCTCGTAGCATCCGGATATGCATTTGCAAGCAACATGCTTGTGAGACCAATACGTGCCGTACAAAAACAAGTAAACTGATAGATACTCATTGAGATGGCCGAAAGCAGCAGTTTTTCCTTTGATACACTCTTGGATCAGGTACTTAACAGGGAATACGATCCTTAGTTCTGATGAATAGAATAGTATATAACTCCATTCTAGTTCATATTTCAATATGAATGTTTATCAATATTGTTTCAAGGGAATTTTGAAGCATGTTAATAAAGTCGAATGGTACTGTGAGTAATGGATATAGGTGACTTCTTTTAACTATCTTTTCTAAACGAAAGTTTCCGTCACAAATGAACATCAATTAAAGTATGAATCGAAAACCAAAAATCACAATGCTCACCAGTTGTATCTGTAGTCTGATAATACCCGTAATAGTAGTGGGTACACCTGAGGTTACATGTTATTTAACCCAATGATTACTAGTATAGCCGTAACTCAACGACCTGGTTAAGTTTAGATAACGTCTTCAAAATCAAGAACCACTATATTGTTTATGAATTTCACATCGTCAGTCTACTTCCCGTAACGTGGTACACAAATCAATAATTGATCATTGTTGATCTCTTCTGTATTCGCTCAATTATGTGTTAAGTAACTGAACAACTTCTTGATAAAATCTAAATATAAATTTTACTTGTGATAATGAAAATTCCTTCTAACCAAAATTTTCCTGTCATAACTAGTTCAATTATGACATCTAAAAATTATCTTTCAATACACGTAGTTCCAGTTATTAAGCAGCTATTGGTGTCATGAAGAAGTTCACCTGTGTTCATATATTTAAAATTAAACATTTAATTAGAAATAGAACTGGAAATGTAGCTGACAGAATAATAATCTTGTACTTTAACTGTTATATCACTGTATCATGATCATCGTCTTGTCGGTTATCAATTTTAACGTGTTTTAAGGAAAATGTTATTCTTCGTCTGGTATTCCTATCATTAGAAAATAAATGAATACCTAGTAGTCGGTTGGCGTAGTTAACAATTAGGATCATATTTGTAGGTGATTGTATTTGTTACATGTAATGTCAGTTTATGGGGCAGGATTATCATTGAAAGCTAGCTAGTATGAGTATTGGATGTAACTATATCATCCTTATATGGGACTTCTCAATAATATATACTCATATCATCAACAGGGATTAGACCCACAGCATCTTTAGGTATCATTGTGCATGCCTAACCACTAAAATCACTAGACTAGTTTCAATTTGCTATATATATATATATATATATATATATATATATATATATATATATATACGAAAGAGAATGATTTTTCGAGCGATATCTAAGCGATTAACATTTAAGCTAGAGAGATATATGTATGGGCTGTTACAGGTGATCATGCATACACGTTTATAGACATGAAGCAATCTTAATATTACGAAGAAATAGACAAACTGTTACCGTTCGAATAACACTATCTGTTTAATAAATTTATTGAAGATCTTGACATCACTAGTCATAAGCAAAATTAATTGTAGGAGGGTTACTATAGCTTGTATTCATCACCTGTTGATGTAAGTTGAAATTTCATTGACAGCAATGTCGTTAATGTTACTGACAAGATTGCTTGTAAGTAGTATGTAGCGGAACGTGTTGTGGAAGTCATTACAGTCAATAGACAGAGAGAAGAGCCTCAGTACGTCAGAAAGCACGGAGTAGGCATAAACTTGGAGATCAGAAAAGCAGACAGTTTGGGATTAACTGAATTGTAGATGCAAATGAATAACTGAAGGCTAGGTGTACATATTATATATACACTAATTTCTCCTTACTAATATTCTCCCTATCTAGTGACTCGTTCTTACAATCAGAGAGCACTAATTATTCCAAAAATTCAAAAATCATGCTTCACTAATTAAATCACAACTTGTAGTAATTAGGTTGCTAATTCATACGTCTTTCATTCGATTTATGTGAGGGCTAGGATACTGCCCAGGTGCTTAAACCGATTTATTTATTTATTTGAACACATAAGTATTGGTACAACAGGGCACCAGATATTTATGCGCCACACAAAACAATGAGAATTCGAAGAGAAAAAAAGAACAATAGTGTAAGGTAGTGTAATAATAATAATAATAATAATAATAATAATAATAATAATAATAATAATAATAATAGGGGAAGCGGAAAGGTGCAATCAGAGGAAATCTTTCAGTCAAGGAAGAAACAACCATTTTTTAACGAAGAAAATAAAAGAACGCTACAGCAGGATCGCCACTGGCTTCTATTCTGAGCCATATCTGATAACGTCTCTAGCCACTGTGTAGCACCATCTCTCGGACCCCGGCCAGGGAGTCGTGAAGGACCAACAGAAGCCAGTCCTTTGCAGATTTCTTTCATACCACGACACCATGCCATACACTGACCACCTCTTCGCTTCTTCCAACCAGTCCCAGTGTCGGCAAATAATGCACGACGTGGAATTCTTTGGGATGACATTCGTAGAACTCGTTCAGGCCACCGAAGTTGATGTTTCAAGATGGTGACACCAATTGTATCATCATCTCTGTGTCCGAACACACGATGCCGAACCTCTGCATTACTGACATGATGTTGCCACTGGATGTCAGCAATCCTTCGGAGACAGCGATGATCGAACACAGAGGGTCGTCTAACATCCTCAACTCGGAGAGACCAGGTTTCACAAGCATAGAGCAAAACTGCTCTCACCGACGCGTTGTAGATCCGACCTCTTACAGCCAGACTAACATCACGAAGGAGCCAAAGATGGCCCAGATTGGCATAAGCCGCTCTGGCTTTCACTATTCGTGCATTGATCTCATCACTCACACCCCCACCAGCACTTATGCAGCTACCTAGATACACGAACTTCTCGACTACTTCTATCTGCTCACCATCCAGGGTGAGTGCAGGATTGGAATCCTGCCAGTCTTGTAGGAGTACTTCGCACTTCGAAAGTGCAAAGCACATACCATACCTACGGACCCTGATTGCCAACTGATTAAGTGTGGATTGCATGCCTTGGGCATTGTCGCACAGTAAGACAATATCGTCCGCATACTCAAGGTCGAGAAGTCTTTCTCCAGGCAACAGATCCACACCTCCATCAATTACATTCATCAGAGCTGTTTCCAGAATGTCATCGATGGCAAAGTTGAAGAGGAATGATGAGATTGGGCAACCCTGCCTAACCCCACTGCTCGAATGGAACAATGGAGAGAGGTGGTTGTATGCCCTCACTCTGCCTGAGGTGTTTGTATATAGGGCTTTTACGATGTTAATAAACTTCTCAGGTACACCCTTCTTCAATAGATAATCCCAGAGAACAGTCCTATCTAACGGATCGAAGGCAGACCTAATGTCAAGAAACACTACGATTGTTGGCCTTTGATAAGTATGATAGTGTTCTAACATTTGGCGGAGGGTGAGGATATGATCAATACATCCTCGACCAGAACGAAATCCAGCCTGCTCCTCGCGAGTCAATCTTTCTCGGGTTTTGAACAACCTACGAAGTATGACGGAAGCCAATAGCTTGGACGCAATCGGAATTAGACTTATCCCCCGATAGTTGTTACAAGAACGACGTGAACCGTTTTTAAAGATAGGGACAACTATCGACTCATTGCGTGACGTTGGTACACTCTCTAACTCCCAGACCTTTGTAAACAACGTTGTCAGTTCCTTAACCAGAAAGTTACCCGGAGTAGACCGACAGGCTTCGATGAGTTGTAAGGAGCCTGAAGAAACCCAGTGCTTATAAGCGGGATGTTTCGCGAACCCACAACTGACTGTACCCGCTATTTTCATGGCGTCATGCATTAGCAACCAATGCTCATCTATACTTTTCGGTGGAGTGGTAGCTAGCCTAGAAACTAGCTCGGTTCGATACTTACTTGCAACAGAAGTTGCAACCAGCTTGCTAGTATCAATCCGTTGGTGGCGGTCACTTCGTTGTCCACTGAAAAGTAAGGTAAGATTGGCACAGACCAAGGCATGGTCAGAGTCCAGATAGGTACTCCAAAAGGAGCGGCAGTCTTGTACACAACCACGCCAGCGGTAGCTGATCGCGATGTGATCAATCTGAGTCCAGGCTTGAGATGCAGAGGGAGGACGCCAGGTGGCACATCGGCGATGACTGTGCCGAAAGTTAGTGCTATCCAGAAACAAGTCTGTGCACAGTTGCAGTAGACGGTCCCTGTTATCTGTCCTGCGACCAACAAGTCCCCATCGGCAACCTAGACGACTGGGATACTGGAACATATGAAAAAGAAATTTTCAGCAAATTAATTCAATTTGTTGTATCAACCATTAGTTTTTGTTTTACTCTGTATATATCAATTCCAATTAAAATAGGAACAAAATATATCTCTATATACTATTTCTTTCATGTACAAAACTATCGGATCAAATTTATATCTAAATAAATCTATTCTCCTAAATTTCAAATAGCATTTTGCAAATATTAAATTATTCATGGATGCTATGACCGATTATAATAATATTCAAATTGATTTTCGTGATGCTAACAAAGCTCGTATCAAACGACAATTGGAAATAGGTATGAAGTAAATTTTGACCAAAAGAAAATATATATATGTCCATATATGTATATTTATATGGCTCAATTTCTTCATTTATACTGTCTACGGTTATTCTTATATTTTCGTCATTTTTGGTGGTTTTGTCGTTATCGTTTTTTTTCTTTTGTTGTTAAATGGTGGTTAGGTAACTTGATAGCTAACACTAATTCACCTTTTTAGTTGTTTTAATCTATGGATATATAGTTTAACAATTAATATTTGTATTGTTTTTGGATGTTTTTTTAATATTTCTTTGTTTATTTGTGCACACTGAACAATTACTATAATTCTCATTCTACTGACTTTGAATAAACTATTGAATGAACATTTATTTTATTTAAACACATAAATATAGTTACAAGAAGGCACCAAATAGATATGAAACACATAAATCATTCGATTTGTATGAGGGCTGGGATACTGCATGGGTGCTCAAACTAAAGGAGATGGTTTTCTTAAGGATCACACCCGGAGTCTTTGACTTGGAGGTCTAATCCACAAGGCAGTCGAGCAATGTAAGGAGATGCAGTCATATGGTAGCCATTGACCAACGATTGGTTCATACGGCATTTGTTCCTTTAGGATACTGGTGCCCATATGAACCATTGGTTTGGAATCAGGGTTTTCCAACTCCCCTAGGTGGACTCTCCGTGTCCACCAACTCGGTTAAAGCACAGGATATTCGCTTTTCGTCCTCTGAATTTTGTAATCAACAGTAATGCCGCGAGAAGGCAGTGAGTAGGACTTTGCTGGTAGTGGTTGTATGCACGTGGCCATATGAGAGCATTTCGAGAGGGAGAGTTTACTGTCCCCACTCTTGGCCGTATCAGGGCATTCGGGGGCATGTAGAATCATCAAATGTGTAAAAGGATTAATCGTTTGATTTTTCATGATCTATACAATTGTTGTCCATCAATATATTAATAATATTTCAGTCTTTAGTATAGGAAGTTTGTGGAGAGTTTTGAATTTAGTAGTTTATATTGCGAACTAACACTAGTTAAACAACTGTTGTATACTAAAGAGCATTTGATAGTTGTTTAGTTATAGTATGAGGATCTTCAACAGTGCGCATCTATTATGTCACGGGAAATCGAACTTAGCATTTTCAGGTTCAATTATGAACTCTTAACCTTTTGACTGCTATGTTAAAAACCTATTGTTTACATTTCTAACCTCAATCAATTTACGCTATTTGTAACCATACTGTTTATGAATAAATGTATAATATCAAATTCAGTTGGACTCTACTGTTCACAGGTTGTGAATAGAACTCTAGGGATTGTCTCACTAATGAGTACATAATTATGATTAGTTTGCAGCTTTATGGAGATTGTTGAGTTTTATACTGTTCATTATACTAGGATGAAATGGTTGCCCTACTACTTCTTGGTTTTCAATGGTTTATTAAGTTCAGTCCTCAATGTATATTATAAAATGTTCATATCATCCACATATTCTTCTCGATTATTTGACCTGATAAATGTAGTTCATGATCATTATACCTTTCTCATATCAAGTTTTAGAAATCCAGTAGATCATTTAATGGTGAATACTATAAAACAAATTGAATCTTCCTATTTATTAATATAAATCACTAGTTTCGCTATTCATCATCTTAATCATACAACCCTAAATTAGTTTGTTTTCTAGCCGTCTACTTAATTACATACTTAACAACTTCTTATCTCAATATAAATGTATTGTTCATAAGGCTAATGTATATTTTTACATGGGTGATATCTTGTTATCTTTTTTTTGTGGATATACGTTTATGTTGGAGGATGCTTATAGGACACATTATTTATTGTGATCGCTACTACATAAGGCAGTATCTTAGTTATTGTTACTACACCACTCTCATGATTGATATTAAACTGAATTTAAAGACTAACAAACAATTTTTATTTTGTTTATTTATATCTTTTTAATAATCATTTTGTATTTTATATTTCAGTTCAGTTAACCATTATTTCGTTGTCTATGTTGTAAAACATTCTTTTTTTTTCTGTTGTTTTAACCTTTTTTTCATGTCCCATTCAGTTTCTCACTTTGTCTAAAACTATCACAACTATTATGCATCAATATGGTCGTATACAGATTGAGCATAAAGAACGTTGTAAAGCTTTATTGAAACGTCAATTAGAAGTTGGTGAGCCTGTTATGTTTATGCATGATATATAAATAAACCGATAAAGATAATTTATTTTGTAGAAATTATTATCATTCTTAACTCATCATTGCCTTAAAATACACGCATGTAAACATTTATTTACACCGGCAGATAGAAAGCAGCATAGATATTTTACATTGTTTTCCTCGTAAATAGTGAGATAATTGTCAGTACGGTGTTGTAGAGATTGTTAAATTTCATTGAAATCATGAACCGATTTAAGTTGAACCATCATCAGTGAACATAAGCCATTGGATGGATGTTATTCGCCTTGGTGTGAGACTCCTCAGCAGTGTGTATGCACGACTTCGTCACAGAGAATCGAATCCAAGACTCTTGGTCTCATGTGTGTTCACAAATTCTAGACCACTGAGCCAACATCCAATGGTGTTAATGTCTAACTTCAGTCAATTCATGACATTGCTCGACCATCATCCATTGTCTTCGGTGAGTAACTGCCTCATACCCACCACGAATTAACTCAACTGGTCACGGGTTCTCACTAGAACTCCAGATATTTCCTCTGGAAGATAGTCTTTAGTGAGCACATGATAATTGTCAGTATAGGGTAAAGCTAAACTGTGCCGGATGTGAGGAAGTTGGCCACCAAAAATGATGAAAGATGGTCATAGAATGTCATGGATAGGTTGAAATTAGACACTATCGAATGCCTGTTCAGTGAGTGTGGAGTCTATTCTCAAGGTTGTTTAGGAGTGATGTGGATAAATGTCAATACTGAATGTTTTCTAATTTCCTGACATATTAACCCACAGTCAACTTACAAAACTTAATAATGATCTAAAATTATATATTCGCTTTAGTTTCCTTCCCTTTGTATAACAAGATCACTCATTTACATCTACTGTCTTCTGATTAACTCTATGGAATTAAAAGTCTCTCAAGGTTATTTTGAAAGTTGTCTAACCTCCCGATTATTCTTCACATTTGCTGGCATAACTGTATGCTATCAAAAACTAATGTTCGTTTGTTTATTCACAAATGGTGTATTATGTTGTTTACAGTAACACCATATTTATTCAATTTGGTGTTTCCGAATTATATACGTTTTGTTTCTCACAGAAACTATTTCTTAATCTTATATCACAATTTAAGAAAGAAGAAAAATAACAACAACAAATAATACTTAACTTCATGTGACAAGTTTCTATAAACAATATTTTCGTCATTTTTGTTTACGTTATAAACATTTGTTTTCTTTTTGTCACACTTGGCTTTTGATTATAAATGGTAACAATCATATGAAAGTTGATTAAACCGTCAGTCAATAATTTCAATGTAGTAACATTTACATAATTCAAGATAGTATCATATGATTGATGATCATTTATGTATGTAGATGGTTCAGTATTCCTAGTTGTATTATGATTGATTAACATCAAACTATCCTCTCTCTCTTACCTTCATAAATTTGTGTATTCATTTAGTTTCATAACTTATGAATTACGCAAAAGTGATTATTAAAGTGAATAAGTCAACGGTACTACTCAATCTAGAGTGTTAATAGTAGGTAGGTGGGTAGAGCACTTCAAAGAACTCTTGAATTGACTAGCAGCACCTACGGGCCTACCAATCGATGTTGTCCCACCAACAATTGAAGAGACCAGCATGGCCATCAGACATATCAAGAGCGGCAAAGCAGCGGGACCAGACAACATTCCAGCAAAGGCACTGAAAAAAGATGTAGCAATAACTGCGAAGATACTTCACATTCTCTTCAGCAAGATTTGGGATGAAGAACAAGTACCAAAAGACTGGAAAAGAGGACGCCTCATCAAGATACCAAAGAAAGGCGATTCCAGTAAGTGTGAGAACTACAGAGGCATCACTCTTCTCTCAATACCAGGAAAAGTCTTCAACATGGTGTTGTTAAACAGAAGGAAAGACTCCATAGACGTCCAACTTCAAGATCAACAGGTTGGATTCCATAAGGATCGATCGTGTACCGGCCAAATCGCAACACTACGGATCATTGTGAAATAATCAACTGAATGGAATTCATCACTCTACATCAAATTTATTGACTACGTGAAGGCATTTGATAGCGTGGACAGGACAATACTATGGAGGCTTCTTCGATATTATAGTGTGCCTGAGAAGATAGTCAATATCATACAGAATTCCTACGACGGATTAAACTGCAAAATCGTATATAGAGGACAGCCCACAGACTCGTTTGAAGTAAAGACTATCAGCAATAACCTACTGTGAGAGAGAATACACGAAATCCCAGCGGCGGAAGGAATGAGGAAGAAGCGCTGGAAGTGGATATGACACACATTGAGTAAAGCACCCAACTGCATCACAAGGCAAGCCCTCACATGGAATCCTCAATGCCAAAGGAGGAGAGGAAGACCAAAGAACACATTACCCCGAGAAATAAAGACAAACATGAGAAGAATGAACAAGCATTGGATAGAACTATAAAGGAAGGCCCAGGATAGAGTGGGTTTGAGAATGCTGGTCGGTCACCGATGCTCCATTAGGAGTAACAGGTGTAAATAAGTAATAGTAGGTAAAGAAGTGATTAAGAAATAACTTTCTTGGAATTGTGACAATGATCAAAACCAAGTTCAAATTCAGAGTTTCTTTTTCAAGTTATTCACATAAAATAAAATCAATTGAACTTTGACTTTGAAAGTATTAAGTACAAAACTTATTAATCTTGGTAAGTTCTAATTAATATTATCATTACTGTTATCATTATTATTGTAGTCAGTTATCTATAACGTAGGACCAGGCACATATAGGCATCGGCTCAAGTTGTCATACTTAATTAGCACAAAAAGATGAACACCAAATTCATAGAAGTAATCACTTCAATAGTCGTATTATACAAAGAAAAGATTCCATATAAGGATATGATACGGGGAGAAAGAATTAGTTCATAGAAGAAACGGTACAAAGTTATTTTAATTTCGCCGTTTAAGGGAAGGCAAAGAGTGTATACACCTACGCCATTGTGATCGATTCTCAGCTGTGTCACCCATAGTCTTCAACCATTGGTTACGATAGTCGCGCGAACCCCAGACAAGTAGTTTTCATCTACCAACATGGCTTAGACAAGAAGTTAGTGACTGATGTTACATCTTGATTTGTCAACCCCTAACTTTCTTTCTGCCGTCTCCAATACTAGTCAGCATTACGCGCCGTGATAGTCAGTGGTTGGGTATGTGTAATACGTAGTGAATATTAACAATTTAGGTAGGTAAAATGAACTCGTGTTTAGCTTTGGAAATTCACACTATGATGTAAAATTTGTTATCATTAAAAAAGAATGCAATTAGTGTAGATTCTTTCGCAATGAAGATAAAAGCTAGTTATAGATGTCTTGATAGAATACGATCATGATTTTGTCAGTCCTATGAATAAAAACAAAAGATTACTGACCTGTTACTTTTAATTTTACGTATACAATACTGTCATTCTCGTTATTTAAATTCTAAATGATTTCATTGTTTTAATGTTATCAGTCAATCATACTGTGCTCAATAATAAAATAAGAAATTATCTTACTATCTGTTAAAAATAGTAAACATAAAATAGGAAGTATTTCTTTGTTATTTTCATATTAGTTTTAGAATATCGAGAAAAATAAAGTTATACCACTATTGAAAACCTGAAAGTACTGGATGGTCGTTTAGTCCTAGTATGAGATTTCTCAGCAATCCGCATCTTCAATCTCGCGCGCAGGACTCGAACCTGGGACCTTCGGCCTCCCGCGCGATTGCTTAACCTCTAGACGAGTGAGCCGAGATCTGATGGTGCTAATTTCTAACTCCGATAAGTTCACGATCTTGCACAACTCTTCATATCTGAAGTGGATAACTGTCTTACACCTGACACAGAATGGATGCGCACTGCTAAGGAGTCCCATACAAGGACGAAACGTCTGTCCAGTGCTTCTAATTTTTCATCGGTGGTCTAGCTTAGATTGACTCGTGAATTCAACCTCTAAAACACTACTATCTCCACAAATCCTCTAGAATGATAAAATATAAACCTTTAAGAAGTTGTAATTTAATCGTGAAATTTATATTACTTCCATAATAAACTTTATTTTGTTCAACTATTTCATAGATGAATAATATTTTGACTGGAGGCGTCAAATACACCTTCTTTTTAAAGTAGTCTCATTAAACAAAGCAATCATACGCCTCTCAAATATCTATCTTCATCATTGTTAAAATATTGATGTTTTATTAAAATGAGAAATTACACCATATCTACATACTGTTCAATTAAATCATTAGTTAAATAATACTGTTTTAACACTAGCATCTAAATTTTACTATTGCTTATAATTCTGACTCAATTATCTTTATTGTAATGAGTATGGCATCTGACTACCAACCAAAGGATGGGTTTACTGCGCAGCAGTTTGTTCCATCCTACTTTATGGCAGTGAAAAATGGACGGTAAGAGTAGAAGATATTCGTAGGTTATTAGTATTCTGTCATAGGTGTCTTCGAAGCATTGCTCGTATATCCTGGAACCATCGAGTAGGTAATGCAGTTGTTAGGAAACGGGTACTAGGTAAGGATGGCGAATCAATTGATGAAGTAGTGAAACTTCATCAGTTGAGATGGCTGGGACACGTGTTACGTATGCCCAACCACTGATTGCCACTAGGTGTAGTAGTAGGATGGAAGAAATCTAGGAACGGCCAGACCAAATCATGGCACAAATCCATGAAGTCACTGAAAAGTGGACTGTTAGTAGGTGTAGACTACGTGGTTGGGATCTGCGAGATGATAGCAGCCGATGGTTAGAGACCTTAGATGACATGGCTCGAAATCGTTTGCAATGAAGCAGGTGCATCCACTCTTTGTGTTCTCTCAAATTCTAATCTTCTGAATTCATCATGTCCCTTTTTTCTTCTTTCCAAATTTATTTCACTGGATTATGCTATTTTAATAACATCTTCAAGCCCCAAAACTTTCCGATTACTTCTCATACTTCTACTACCTCTACCACTACGGGATTTGAATTGACAATTGTATCTCTGTACTAATGTGGTATGGCAACTCGAACTGATGTATGTACGTACGAAGTTCTACGTTGTTGATTGACTGACTGAATGAGTGTTGCTTTAATAATAAGAACTTTAGGTAGTTCCCCTCACTATGTTGTGGTTAGAATAATGTACTTTTGTTTTTCTTCTTTTTAAATAGCTCAACGGTCAGTTACAGATAATGAACTGGAAAATATGCTTGAATCTGGAAATCCACAGATTTTTACTCAAGGAGTAAGTACTTTTCCGGATTATACATCTCATTATATTTTCTTCATAGAATACTTAAAAGTTTATAATAGGTAAAGTACTTTTACCACACTGATCTACCACTTCACTATTAACCTATCTACATCTCTATTATCTGTTTTATCTCGTTAAATATAATTATATTTATAAATTGTAATAGATAAAAACTTTGTATAGCGGTAACGTAGTAGTTTAGCCAGTCAACTTCAACTAGTAGGTCGCATGTTTGAACTCCAGCAAACCATCCTCTTAGGTCACATTGAAAATAACCTTATCATTCCTCTCAACCATTAGTTGGCTTTTTAGAAGCCTTTTCACCTAATTCAGTTTGCGAGACCTGTTAGTATCACTAATGGTCACATAACTCATGTGGATTAAAACGGAATACATAAATACTTATTTGGTAAAACTGTCGGCTTTTTTAACCCTATTTTCAATTAATTCTATAGACCGATCTCCATGTAGTTGTATGGCCTCTCAGCACGAGTCGTAATTAAAATCTACTATTAATCTCTTATTATGTGAATGAAGTCTGAAAATTTGATTCCATATTATCCTAGATACTTGATCGAAATTAATCATGTATCAAATTATCTGGGGGAAACATATCAACCATTTATACATGCCTAGTCATTCATTTAGTTAAGTACTAACTGTAAAAAGATCAACTTTTTGTAATCACTATCACCTCATATCAATTCATACATTAAATCAACGTTATTTAGGGTTAGGTCACTGTTTGAACATTAACACAGTTATGCAGGCAATTCCAGTCAACGAGTCTCGAATAGGACGAAACATACATCCAGAATTCCACTACCAGCCAAAATCCAATCAATTCTAGGGAAAAAAACCACTGTTTATAAATCAACTCGTCCATCAAAAATGACGTTATTTTTGACAAAGAAACCTAGCAATAGTTCTCATTTAAATGCTTTCTTATTCTCGTCTAATCGTAATTCACTAATTTATCTATAAAACAGAATAAATGATAGTTAGATACTCTGAGACTAACACTTCCTGGTTTGACTAAATTATTACAATACTTACGTATAGCAGATTATTTGATTAAAAAAGATAATAACAATTGTTTGACTGGTTACTATGACGTTCTTTTATTTTCATGAAAGCTGTTTTATTTTCCTATGGGTATATATATATATATATATATATATATATATATATATATATATATATATATATATAGAGCTTTCACAAGGATCTAATTGAAAAGCAGTACTTCTTAGTTCGAAACATAATTTTCCAGTTAGTTTTTCGTCATGTCTTTAAGGTAATTTATACTCCGTTACACGAAATTATCTTAGTTAAACAACCATTGAGAAGGAAGAAGCAATGAACAACTGTTTCGTCCTAATATAGGGCTGCTCAACAGTGTTCATCCAGGACCAAGGGTGGACCAATACCAGGACCTACGGGTCTTTGTGTAAGCGCTTAAACTCTAGCCAACATCCAGTGGTTTATATTTCCAACTTCAATCAACTGATTATTTCCCACAACTATCGTCAATGAAAACTTCTGAGAAGTCCCATACTGCGGCGAAACAGTTGTGAAGTGCTGTTTGGTCGTCAGTGGATGCTAATATAATATCAGTCCATGATATGAGCTATAAAACCTAATAGTCTACACAGATCTATTGTAAGTAATTCATATACTTCACTTTATTAGTATAACACCACCCACTTGGCATTGTTACACAATAATATCACAACTTCGACAACTGATTATGAAAACGAAGTCGATTGACCAGTCAAATAGCAAAAAGACGTTTGATAGGGTAAATATTTTAAAATGAATTGTGACATGTTGTTCAACTGTCAACAGACTACACAATATCTTGTAATAGAATTGACAAAGTATTTTCCATAACATATCAAATATCAACAACAGTTACATAAGAGAAAAGAGAGGAATATTAGCATTGCACAATAATACAAAATGTACAGGTAATTTAAAGGAAAGAAAAGAATAAATATTTTGCTTTGGTTTGCTTATGTTGGTGACTAATGAATGGAGCGTGGCTGTATGCATTTCTTTTGAACGCAAACATTTGGTTTATAGATATGAATGGTAATGCAAATAACGGACACGTAGACCTTCGTATATGTATATATATAATGGAACACAGGAGATAACTTATGAAGCTTAACTCAAACCCTCGTGAATGTATGTGTCCAATTTTATTCAAGTAAAAAGGAATAGAGCTCTTACTGTTGTCCTTTATTTACTCTTTGTATTCAACCCGACCAGATTATGTTTAGGAAATCGGATAACAAACTTTCCAAATTATATACTCCATGTAACTGTGACGAATTCAGTCGATCTGTCTTTGTTTTCAGCTTTAATTATTAAGCGATTGCAAAATACAATATTCAATTTCATTGTTGTGAACATTTTCTTCAATACCCTTCTGTAATTGGTGCAATATCGATTCGCTTTTTGTTTTTTGCAGTGTACATGTACTTATTCACTTATCATGTATATTTTGAATAGATCAATGGTTACAGATGGACTAGATTTCTTTTCATTTTTTTTTTCATTATTTGTTTAGATTATAACAGATACTCAACAAGCTCGTCAAAATCTAGCCGATATTGAAGCACGTCATGAAGATATTATGAAATTAGAAAAGAGTATTCGAGAATTACACGATTTATTTATCGATATGGCTTCATTGATTGAAACACAAGTTTGTTGATTGTATATTAATTAACCTAGCTTTTATTTAATTGTCTTGTTAGTAAATGAGCTTAACTTAAAACTTTAGTTTATGAGATTTTAAAATACAATAAGAATTCATCTTAACTCAAAATTATGTCGTCGATATTATCTGAATTAGTTTTTGTTTTCTATTTACCAACTACAGTCAATGACTTACTTACTTGCTTGCGCCTGTTACTCTTCGTGGAAGAGCATAGGTTGCTGATCAGGAATCTTCATCCAATTCTGTCCTGGACAATCTATTCCAGTTGCTATTCATCCTTTCGATGTCTGCTTCCAATTTTTGACGCAGTGTGTTCTTCGGTCTTCCTTTTATTCTGTTTTCCTTCAGGATTTCAAGTTAGCGCTTGCCTCGTAATGCAGTTCGGTGATTTCCTCCATGTATGTCCTATCCACTTCCAACGTCTTTTCCTAATTTCTTCTTTATCTAGAAGTTGGTTTGTTCTCTTCCACAATAGGTTGTTACAGATGGTATCCGGTCGACGGACATTGAGCATCTTACGTAGACAATTGTTTATAAATACCTGTACTTTTCTGATGATGATTATAGTAGTTCTCCAGTGACTAGTTGATAGATTTTCAGAATTTTGCTTTAAATGACTATTCAAGATATATTTGCTTATCACTTGTTTTAATGAGTATTATTTTTCAGTCAGCCTACTTTGGTTTCTATCAATTGAAATATGGATTAAATCTATGTAGTGGATTAAAGGGATTCCAAAGCTTTGTGTACCATAATCATTAGTCAAATTGATCAAGATATTAGAATTGAGATAAATAATGGTTATCACTGACCTTACCAGCTGATTATGAAGAAAAAAAATTTGGCAAGAGTCATAAATAATAAAATAATCTATACCTTTCAAACTTTGTCGTGAAAGTTTACTGTTTGCCAAGTTTTCCAATATAGGCCTATTTTATCCCTGTCCAATTGTATTTTTATTCATTGACTTTAATGTAATATTTATTTATATCGATCGTGAATTTTTGTCAAAATGTGTCGTTGAGTGAGAGAATACGATAAATTATATAAGGGATTGTTCTTTTATGAGGACATTCGTCGACTTAGAGAAACAAGCTATGTTATTAGAATGAGTCATTCAATTTCAGAACTCCTCAAATGACTTAGTTAATACAGTGTTGTTGACATTATTTTGTAACTTCCATTCTCTGGCTCACTGTTGTCAGTCCAAGTAGCACAATCAGTTCTTTTGAAAATGCATTAAATATGCTCCAAGAGTGGTGTACCAATAACAGCGTTGCCACTGGTAACTGTGATGTTTAGTTACAGAAATCGGAGTGAATAGATAACTATAGTTAATACACATTGAGAAAACTAGAAATTGGTCAGCATTCCATGTAAAAGGGTACTCTTATTTATTAGTAAGAGTTTGTGTTTTCCTGTTGCTGATTATCAGCTTTGCAATTATATATATATGATTGGATGTGTCGGTCTTGGTTTATGTTCATGAGACTTTAGTATATCTAAATCATGATTAGCAGTTGAATCTAGGACACTGATTCCGTCCTGTTTATTAATCATCATCTAGTTGTACATTTGTTCGAATGTTTACCCTGGGACTTCAACCGAGTGTTTATTATTCAGAACCCAACACATTGCTTATTAACATACTGAGTCCAATTATATTAAATTATTAAACCGATATTTACTGGCTAGTATGTGTTTGCATTTCCCGTGGTTATAACACTTAGAATGCCACTGTCACTCAGAATCCAAGGACTATAATTACCCATATTTTGTATTGTCCTCTATCAATAAGTAAGCTGTTTTAACGCGACGTTGGTAACCATATTAACATTTCAGTTCTGTAGTATACGTAAATAACTATTCACTTATGTAGCTGGTTATCACTTATTTTCTACCCAAATTAATTGATGTCTTAGGGTGAACTTGTTGATCGAATCGATGTCAACGTTAAACAAACACAGGATTACGTTGCTGAGGCTCGACAGGAAACTAAAAAGGCAGTTGTATACAAGAAAAAATCTCGGAAAGTAAGTTTGTCCCTCCCCTCACACTGCCTTATCGTTTTGCCGATTTCCTTTCATGAAAATAATCAAATAATAAATTATTTTTATAGCCTGATTGATTTTAATGATTGAATGAACGATATCATCAGTGGATTTGTTTGGATAAAAATAGCAAAAAGATTAGTTGAATTTTTTTGTTTTGGTTATCTCAATATTCCCGTTGTTGATGTTAAACTCTCCAAGTGATCACTCTCTTGGCTATGGAATATCCTATGCGGATTTCAGACGAGTTCCCATTAGGACGAACAGCACATCCTGGCTTCTACTGTTACCTACTATTCAACTCTGCTTAAAATGGTAGTTTATTTAGTAATAGTGATGAATTGTACTGTTTGTTTAATTCATTATGGCTATGTAATTATGGAAATTTTTTATAAATTAATATGATTTACTTAATCCCTAAAACTTTTTATGTAGCTGGGACTGAAGTACCAATTCGTAAACACTGATGAAAATTCTTTGATCAAATTATCACTCTTTATTCTAATACTCTATTATTACGTAATTATTTGAATGTCTTAATCATTCATCTTGATGTTTCAACGACGTAGTCTTCTTTTTTATGTGATGACAGGTAGCTAGTGTCATTCAGCACGTACTTAATATGTATAACTCAATAGTGTAGCATCTCAAAATTACACTTGACCATCGGATTGCACACATAACTTTTCTTGAAGTATATGTAGCATTACAAACTTTTTTGTATCACTGTATAATGGCAAAGAAAAAATCCATGACTTTTATGTTCATTCAAACTTTCAAATGGTTTCTATGCCCAAACATTCATTTCTATTTACATGTAGATTTGAGCAGAATATCAACAGACATATAAGTGCATTCAGTTGATAAATTCCCCATACAGTATGAAGTGAATGTCCTCAATTCCACTGTTAATCACAATCCATCTGTGTATTTTTTTTTAAATAAAAGAATATAAATATTTTTAAAACCATAGATAGTCCCCACAGTAGAACGAAACAGTCGTCCAGTGTTTCCAGATTTTCCATGGTGGTCTAGCTTCAATTGACTCATGATCTCAACTATTAAAATTACTATATTATCCACCAAACCCCTTCTGATATAATTAACAGTTCAATGTAGATAGATAGTTACAAAAAGCGGTCATGTAACTTTGAACGTACACTAAGCTAATACAGAACGGAACCGTGTGAACTAGAAAGGTTAGAATGTTTTACTAAGTTTATATTTAACATTTAATATGATCCATTTGAAAGAATGATGGATGAAATTATTCCTTTAATAATTGTTAAATTGACTTTGAGAAAGTTAAATCAATTTTTAGCTAATTAGAATACAAACGTTATACGTGAATAGTTTATTGCATAATATCCTTAAGAAATAGTTAGGAGTTTGGATTAAGATCAAGATTTACAGTTAAATTAAGCAGCAGTGGTTAAGAGTTTGAAGTAATGTTTATGAATTGAATGAAGAATGTTTTATAGTCATACGGATAAATATTTATACAATTAGTTCTTTTGTGGTGTGTGCTACTTATATTGACATAAGTAGTACATCATGTTAGTCGTGAACAGAAGGTCTGGCAGCAGAGAGACAAGAGAGTCGAACAGTAAAGAATCGGAATAGAATACAATTTGTATGAAAATGCAAGAACAATGAAGTCTGAGTCATTTTGAGACAATTGGTGGACGTTTCGCAAATTAAGCATTTACTTGATGATTGTTAGATTTTATTAACAAGTCCTGTAATTTTGTGTTAAATACATTCGATTGTCCCCACTCATGTTCTTTTCACTACACTTTGATTTTATCTATCAAATACTTTTAAGCTATCTATAAAAGGCCGTAAATTTTGGTTTCCATATTTTATTCTTCGCATGTAATCAATTTTAAACGTCTTATTAAGTAGTATATTGGTAGGTTATCCGTCATTACGTTATGATTCGCTCACAACAACCCAACAAACACCCTCTTAAATCGTTCGTCAGTAGAATATTCCTTTACCGATTATCACAGTTCATATATTTACATCTTATTTTTAATTCAGTAGGTATTAGTTGCTAGAGTTATTATTGTAAATGATAACTCACTTGTTACTCTTAAACTCTTCATTTACATTATTAGACAGATTTTTATGATGGTTTAAATATTAAACTTTTACAGTTAACGAAATTTTCCTGTTTGACACTATGATGACTCTGTAGTTGAAGCAGGTCGACATTCAACCACTATGTATTGCAGTATTGAACTACCATCCATTAATATCGATGTATAATTCGGAGCAAATTATTTAGGTTTATATTTATTTACGCTAAGTTCACCCTTTTCCACTTTGCATTCGTTATTTTCACTACTGTCTGTTGCAACCAATGAAAACATTTACAAATATTTACTGAATTACATTTCTGTCTTGAAACTCAATGTTTAAGACTCGAATTTCAACCACTTAGCCTCAGGTTCGAATCTGTCCTCATCTATTTCTGTACTGGCAATCAGATAGTACTGTAAAAAACGAAGAAGTCAAGTAGAGAAGACCAATTTATTGTTTTACATAAAATTACAAAATGTTATACATCTTTCATCAATTGTCTCTTACGAAATTCATCGTTTCTTCCTTCCTGTTATTATAAAAATTACACACTATTTATATTTCCATTCTCTTCAAATCGGTCTTCTAAATTTTCTCCTGCCAGACATTTCACTTCTGATTGGTGTTACATACTACTTATATCTGTCAATGTAAGTAGCATACACCAGAGAATAGTTTGAAGCCAAGTACATAATTCTGTACTTGGTAAACCAGGTAAATAAATAAGTAACATAATTTATGAAATATATGACCTATTTCTACTGCATAAGTTCAAGAATTAACTGTATCAAAATCCAGTTACAAAATATGTAATTCATTGTTTAGATCTACTTAAAAACGTTACTATATTATTGAGAACACTGTTGAAAACAATTCTTTTTTCTGTTATTATTATTATAAACACACAAATACTCCTACTTGACTAAAACGACTCTTTAATAGAGCTCGCTACAATTGTAAATCCTCAGTCTGTCGGCTACAACGTAGGACCATGCACATTTATGCATCGGTTCAAGTTGCCACACCTCATTAACAATCATGAATAATCAGAAATGCCTAACAGATGTAGTTCATTTTATTGGAATTGTATTATATGAAGCTTTTTTCCCCAAATATGATTTCAGTGCACAGTTTGTTGTTAAATTAAAAATGTATTCTTCAGTATTCTTGTAATCGGAAATCTGATAATAATAACTTTCCAAAAAACTTGGTCTGCGTGTGATTGTTGTTTTATTCCAAGTTGTTTGGAATATCGATTTATAATACCGGACTGACAGTTGACGTTCTACAAAACCTGAATTTTAGTGGTATCTTTAACTTATGAAAGAACTTTCACTATCATTAGTAACCTGATCGATAGCAATCAGATCAAAAACCTTGTTTTATAACCCATTGAGTAGAGTATTGAGCCTGTAAACTGCATAATGGTATAACTATTCGCAATTGCTTGATATCTTTAAATTTTAATCAAAATGATTCATGGATTATATCACAAACTGGCATTAGTTACACAACCATTAGAAAACAGTAGGTACCGGACATTTGTTTCGTCCTTGTGTAGAAATCCTTACCAGTTTTCATCCACCACCCTACGGGGTTTCGAACTTAGGTTCCATGGCGACTGCTTAACCACTAGACCGTCCAGTTGGCAGCCAATAGTCTACATTTGAAACGTCATTTTAATATATATATCTCTCAACCAATCGGTCACATTTTTTACTCCCTTTTAGATCTATACTTAAAATAATCAGGGTTGTTTTATGAATATTTTTATCAAGTTTTTCATCACTGTTGTCATTAAGTTCAGTAGTCATTACACATTCATGTAGAATGTTTCTTTTATTCAGTACTTTATTGATGAAAAGATCTTCATCTCAAATTTCATATTCTTACCTCAGTTGGTTAAGTATGCAAGTAGATTTTAGGACCTAAATATCAATCAACTGTCTTCTTGATATCGCTTTTCAATTACATAAATAAATAAAAGTAGTCAATTAGTATTAATCGTTGAGATAAGATGGTGGTTGGAGGTAGTCAACAAGAAACCCTGCACCCGGGTTTCGTGCTACTTGGCATTCGTCAGCAAAGTGTACCTGTAATCTTGAAGGAACTGGTGCTCCCTGACGGATTCGATCCCGTTTCATCCAAGCTTCACAGTCAGAGACATTACCACTGGGCAATGTCGAGTCACTTAGACTAGTGACCACATTGCAACTTGATCGATAGCATTCGATCCGCGCCAAGATGGACTTGACACACATGACATTGATCACCACACAATAATCAATCAAATATGAGTATCAATCGTTCTTCTATCTATTGTGTGTCGATAATAGACAATCATTACATAATCAATTAATTACATGATTTTTGAATAGAATTGAACATATGAGTCAATTAGTCATTTATTGTATACATATGAATTATAGAATTTAGATCATACGATATTTGTAAATTAGGTTCATATAATGGCAAAGGATTGTATAGTTGAATGTATTCAAAAGTTAACTATTATATCAATGTAAATTTATAATTTGTAAGTAGAGTATTTAAACAAAAATTTGCTTTATATCTGATGTATAATAAATTTTCATCTATTTATCTTCTTTAACTTATACTTTGTACTGAGTCAAATTAATTTTAAGTCATTATTAAAAGAAGTTTCATTTATCTCGTATTTTTTTAAATACTAGAGGACTGAATTTTCATCAGTCTTTACTGATCTGTATATACTCTTTCCAGAGAATAATATTAAAATTTTACATCTTGAACAATTTAGTTACTATAGTTAGTTATGTTACTATAATTACTATAGCCGAGCGAACAACATGTTAGGTATTTGGGACGTAAATCACACTAAGGTTCCAGTCCCTATGTGAACACCTATATTGAGATGTAAATACAACCAACTGACAAGTCCTAGATAGAATGAAACGCATATCCTGAACTCCAATACTACTTAAATTCTGTTACAAATTATTCAAATCATGACCCGATCCAAGTCAAACCATAATTTAAAAAACCTGCACTTATTATTGGGCAATGATATATGTTTGTTAATTACTCAAACTGAGGTTAGGAGTAGGTTGGAAGAAGGTTGGGGGCGGCCAGACCGAAACATGGCACAAGTCCATGAAATCACTGACAAGTGAACTGAGTCATGTTGGTAGGTGTAGACTACCTGGTTGGGGACCACGAGATGATAGCAACCGAAATCGTTTGCAATGGCGCAGGTGCATCCACTCTCTGTGTTCTCCCAAATTCTAATCTTCTGAATTCTTCATGTCCCTTTTTTCCTCTTTCCAAATTTATTTCACTGGATTATACTCTTTAAATAACATCTCCAAACCCTAATCTTCCCGATTACTGCTTATACTCTTATTACCTCTACACTCAAACTGAATATATCATATTTCATTTTTTGTTTTTCTCATTTTGTTATAACTTGTGAACCTGTGCGCCCTGTTATTGTATAACGCAACGACACCGCCGATTAGAGGGTAGCGACTTATCGATCGGATCAATGACGCGTAAAACATGTGCGAGCAACCTAGATTCCTGATTGGTCCTGCTTCCCGCCTAGCCCAGCCAGTTGAGTCCAGAACACCAATCTCAGCCTCTGCAATATGAATCATTTATTTCAAACATACTGGGTTTACATACCAACCAGACAGACCACATCGTACCAATAAATTAAGAAACAAAATTTATACAAGATTTGGCCAAATGTGGCTGTGAATGAGGGAGATAGTAATTAATAGACAGGGCATAATTCAAGAACGGTAGATCGTATAATAAGAGTCCATAGGTCAAAATAGAGCTTATAATAAGAGCAACATGAATGTGAAGAGTTTAGTTACATAATAATTATACGATAAAAATACACTCATAGTATTGGTCCATAAATGGATCCCAAAAGTTATCATTTATTATTCTTATCGGGATATAACACATTTATAATTTCATCATGTTTATGTGTACAGTCAATCAGTCATTTGTTCAGTTGTTGACAATGATAGATGAAACGTTATCATTGATCTTCTGCTGTCATTATTATTATTATTATTATTATTATTATTATTATTGTTTTAATTCTTTACAGATCTTTTAGTTATATACTGTTAGTGTTCATTGTTTTGTTTAGTGTATTTTTTTGTGTATATGTGTCTTATTTGATTGGGTATTGTTGGAATACAATAAAATACTTGCATGCTCTTTATATATATATCTATACATAAAGATGGATTTAGGGGGTTTGTTATTCATGTGTTTTGTTTTGTAATATAATCCTGTTCATATCTTTTAATATCATATGTTTATCTGATCATATAAATGTTAAGTTTTTGTCACTTTCATTGTTGTCATTGTCAATTGTTTGTTTGTGTGTTTCCCTAGTTGTATTTCTTTTTGTCGCCTTATCACATCTATCACATTATCATCGAAATGTGTTGAGAACAGAATCTATACATTTAGATGGTAGTTCGAGGTAGTCAACAGGAAACCCTGGACCCGGGTTTCGTGCTACTTGGCACTCGTCAGCAAGGTGTACCTGTCAGTCACGGCTCGGATAGCTCAGTGGTAACGTCTCTGACTGTGAAGCTGGGTGACACGAGATCGAATCCGCCAGTGAGCACCAGTTCCCTCAAGATTACAGGTACACCTTGCTGACGAGTGCCAAGTAGCACGAAACCCGGGTCCAGGGTTTCCTGTTGACTACCTCCAACTACCATCTAAATCTCAATAAATAGTGCCCGCAGTGTCGAGTCACCTAGACTAGTGGCCACATTGCAACATGATCGATAGCATTCGATCTGCACTAATAAGGGCTAGACAAGCATGACATTGATCACCACCCAGTGATCAATCTTTACTCTAATACATCATCATAATCATGCTTTAAGATTACTCATCTTGAAAAAACTAAACTGCTTAACATTTTAAACAAAAATCATTTTGACTGTACAATTGATATTCTAGGAATAAATAGGATGATACCTCAGATAACCTAACTGATAATTTACTCACTGAACTGACTCTTGAATCTGAACAGAATGTCTTAATCAGAATGATTGTTAGTTACTTAGGTAAGGAATTAATTTAATATTGAAGATATACTTGTATATTTTATATCATTGAACAGTTGGACAAGTCTGACTACAAGCATCTTACTTGGCCTATACCCAAAGTATTTCAATGCTTAATACTTGATTAATCAGACTAAAGGGAAAAAATGATTAGTGTGTGAAAACAGATGTTATGAAAAGTATATTAAAATTTCATATGTTTGCCTATATTCATACATGTATAAAAGGTAAGTGACATCAACCATACACTCTGATGCTTTCATCTTCAATTCATATGTATTCTAAATTCTTATCAGTTTTGGTGTGCTTCATGTTATACTTGAAATATTATGTGGTTTTTACTTTGTTCGATATATCTACCAATTTTAGGTTGTGTTCGTTATCGGTTAAGGCAGTAGTGGACAGTTCTTGAACCCCAGTATGAGATACCTCAACAGTGCGCACCGATGAACCCACTAGGGATCAAATTTAAAACCTAATCGTTATAGGCTTTTCATGAAACATCAAGCTCATGGGTTGGATTATTGGCAAGATCGTGAGTACCTGCTGTTGGGGGTTGCTATACTAGGGCAAATCATTCGTCAAATACTTTCTAATTTTTAATAATACTTTAAGTGTGATCAATCTATGATGAATATAGTCTTCAAATAATTGACTTACTAGTCAATTTGTCATTAGAATATTTTTTTATATGTTTAAACATTATACGAAATAATCAAAATACTTCATCAACAGAATAACTAATAATAAGTCATTTGACAATCGAATAGAGTAAACACTGCACAATACACCAAACACACAATAGTCCACATTTGATTGTGTATATACTTTTCAGTAAAAGTTGTCTTTCCTCCATGTCTGTATATAGTATTCAAATTAGTCTATAATTGTTAGGTAAAACTGCTCTCAAGTGTACACTATGTTTAGATTTCTTCACTATGGTTTCAGTTATGAGTTAACTTTGAAATATTCAGTAGTCTATGTTCACCTGTGGATAAGTAGTATGAATTTTAAGCATATAATAATTTCATTTGACATCTGATTTGACATTTCATCTGACTGTTTCATCTATCATAACTGACATACTATATACACTCATTTTGTATCATTGTGTGCTCTTTCTTGCTGTTTCTGACTCACTAATACGCTAACAATAAGTTTGTATGTTTTTTCTAATAATCTAAAACAAAATGTGGGTATATGAAGACTTTTGTGTACTTCAAGGATAGGTTAGATGATAAGATATAATTGGCTAAAAGCTAATGGACAATAAATTTTGCGAAGGTCCAATATCAACTAACAATCTGTTGAGTGTATCACTTGATTAAGTAAACAGTTACTTATTGATAGCCATAACATTGGATGATAGTCGTACAATGTCACTACTAGAACTAAAATTGTCAATATATTTATGAGCCGCTAAGTCCCCCTCCCGAACTCGGCCATCTAAATATACAGTGCTGATTTTGTTTTAGCCTAAATTTCGTAGTTCTATTCACTTTTCTATACTATTCAATGTGTTTTATTCTGACTGTTTTTATTGGAAGAACAAAATGTTTCATTCAATAACACTAATGATATTTCTTTGTTTCTTTTTTTTGCGCGTCTTACTCTCTGATCATCCTCATCAACATCATCTTGCCAACTGTGTATATTTGTATACATAATTTTGTCAAATATATATGTATCTATGTATGTGTCTCTATGTACGTATGCATGTTACACTTCATTGTTTTTCCAACTATTCCCAATGAATTATAATATATCGTATAGAAAAAATTCATCATCATTGGAGTTTGTTGCGCCGTTGTGGTAATTATAATCATCATTGTTATAACCACAGTAGTACCTAGAAAGTAATACTATAATCCACTTCTTTCAAAGTATACAAATAATAATGATAATATTTTATCAATTACATTGAATTCATATTACATAATCCCTTTGTAATTGGATAACTTTGTTTTTAATTGCTCAATGAAACTGATGTGTAATTTTCATTTATATATATATACATATTTATATCTGTTTTATATTTCTGAATTGTATGTTCTTTGTTTTTCTATACACACACACATACATGCACACACATTTGTGTCTTTGTTTACTTCAATTGTTATTCCCATAGATTTTGTTCTGTTTTCCTTTTTTCTTTCTATAATTCATATTCTTACTTATATAATAAAACATACCTATCCTGTTTAATTTATAATAACAATCAGAGGAAAATCCGGTTCTTTTCTGTGTGCCTGTGTGTGTGTGTGTGTGTAAAATGTCAAACTGGAAATAATTATACACGTATTTCATTTCTACCAAATACATTTTCTGTTTGTTTGTGGGGGGGGGGTGTTTTTGTTTGTTTGTCTGTCTTAATACTTCACTATACATTCCAACTTATCAATGAATACGGATTTGAATAGGTGGTGGGTGGGTAGGTCGGTGTTAATCCGTCTTTTTTTTATATAAAGGCTAAATATCATTCATTGCTGAATTATGTAACACCCAATTACAGTTTTTTTTCTTTTTTTTTCTAAATAAAAATTATGTATTGAAAATATTCCCTCTTCCTCTCCCCTCCGTTTTTTTTAAAAAAAGTTTAAAACGTTCATTTTTTTAAGTGAAAAAAACTCTTTTAAACAATTTCATTGATCTAACAAAATAATACACTACTTATTGAATGATTTTGTTATCAGTAGTACTATTCAATCTTTCATAATTATATCTAAAAAAAATCTTATTGAAATCGATTTTTTTTGTTTTCTCTCTTCTCTCTTTTATTCATATTCACTTTATTTTATAAATAAAAAAAAGTAAAATTGATTTTGTTAACTAATTCACTATACAATTGGGTTTGTTATTATTATTATTATTTTTTGTTGTTTTTTTTTGGTTCTCTCTCAGATGTTAATTTAACCTTTCATTTATTTATTTATTTATTTATTAATTTTCGATCATTTGTACACCATATCTGTGCCTAAATTGTATATGTTGCATGTATGTAGTATGTGGTTAATTTGATGCCAAAAAAAGTGATGATAATCGGTATGATTGAATCTCAATGAAAATATGTCATGATAGAATTGAGTTTTGTTGTTGTTGTTGATTGGGGTTGAATTTTGTTACTAGGTCATGTTATTGATAATTGGTGTATTATTTATAAATGATGAGAATATATATATATATATAATTAAATTGATTCAGTGTATTATTTCTTATGGTGCAGAAAACACTTCATTTATTTGTTTATTTGTTAATGATTCGAACTTATATTTGTATAGTTTTGTCGAAATATTTCAAATGGATAATAATCGGATTATCAAAGAACGAATAATTCGGGCGAAGAAATTTCTTTTCAGTTAGTTTTTCTTCATGGTTCAACGAGTAAGTGATACCGAGGTTAGATGCAGTGTATTAGGGAATGATGGTAAATCAATCAGTTGATGAAGTTGTGAATCTTCATCGACTGAGATGGTTGAGCTATGTGTTGCGTATGCCTGAATACTGGTTACCACGACGCACAATGATAACCAGTGTTGGGGATGGTTTGAAGAGAGTAAGGGGGGCGGCCAAACCAAAACATGACATTAGTGCTTGAATTCACTAACTTCTGGTCTGAGCCATGTTGGTAGATGCAGGCTACTTGGTTGGGGTCCACGTGACTATCGTAACCAATGGTTTGAGACTCTTCGTGACATGGATCACAATGGCGTAGGTGTATACACTCTCTGTCTTCCCTTAAACTAAGAGATTAATATCGCTTCATATCTTTCTTTCTTCGAAGTAATTCTTTCTTCCTGTATTATATCCTTATATACAATCTTTCTTTTATATATTACACCATTGAGTCAACTGCTTCTATGAATCCGGCGTTTGTCTTGTTGTGCTAATTAAATGTGGCAACTTGGACTGATACATGTATGTGCCTGGTCCTACGTTGTAGCTAACTGGCTCATGGCTCTACACTAATATAGATGTATATATATAATACTCGTCGAGTGGATACGATTATCAAAAAAATTTTTGTTTGCAAATTATTTGATGTTAACAATTAAAATATACACTTGGTGATTGATTAATTTTATGGTTTGTGTCATAGACTGACTGACCTTCATATAACCAATGAAGAATAGAAACCAATGTATAACTGTCATTATTTAGTGTTTGAACCCTTTTATAGTGTTCATCTACGATTTCACTGGAAATCGAACGTAGGAGTAGTTCCCAGAGTTTTAATTAAGAGCAATAATCAGTGGGATTCAACCATGTTGAGCGTGAAATAGCTACTCATTATAAGCCTTAGGGGATGATTGTGAAATTCTATAAATAGATTGTTGTTAAATATTGTATGTCGAGTGATTGGTATAAAGTTCTAGTGCTGACTGGAGAACCTGGTTCCGGTATCTTATGTGTTAGTGAAAGTGAACTGCTAGTAATTTTCGTGATCTGATAATTAGATTTCTATCTATTTTTCGACGAAAATCCAGACATTCATTTGAGTTTACACACATTTATACATCATGCAAACCCTGAATTGTGTGGAACAACGATGTAGGGATAATTTGTTTGAAATGAGAAATAATAGTTTAGTCTGTAAAAGATAAATAGGTCAACGTTCACTCTCAAAAATGTGTACATACCAATCACTTAAGTACGTCAATTGGTTTACTTTATAATAGTGAAAAGTACTTGTCGTATATTCGACATATCTACATTTATCTTCTATTCAGTTATACATTTTTGTACATATTTCATTCATTGGTGCATTCGTTACTTTCGCTAACAATTAACCAATTCATCTCAGCAAGTAACTTCATCAAACTGTTTGTAACCCTCGTAAAGTTGTGCCTAATTGTTTGCTGCGCAATTTCATTCTGAAAGTTTAACTAAACAGTATAATTCATGTTATGAAAAGTTTCAGACCATATATATTACAAATAGTGGTTTATAGCAGTTCTCATTCCTAAGTTGGGTTGCACCATATAGGGGTTCAGTTAATCTATAAATCAGTTCGGATCCTGCTGACAATTTTTTCTGATGGTTAGTACTTTGATTGAAGTTGAAAAATACAAGCTCTAGACTCCAGACACAGTGTGACATGTTCGTCATGAACTTTAAAGTCTGTAGATTCGTTTACATACGGAGAATGTGGGATTAACCTCTCTAACAACTACTGAACATGAACAAAATTTGAATCCCTCAAAAACATTGAGAAATATGTTGTGTGTATAATTTGCGGACGAGTTATTCATCTGTTGACAGGTCACTGATCTGGTAAAGGGATTCTGAATGGCATAAGATAATTACGTGCACCTTTACTGAAATTTCCCAGTGTGGTTGATATGGAACCACCAAAATAATAATAATACCACTCACAACAAGAACTAGCATATTTCTATGTTTTATTTCGGCGGTTGGAGTAGGTCAACAGGAAATCATAAAACTAGAATTTATGCTAGTTTGCACACATCAGCAAACTGTATCTGTAATCTTAATGAAAGTGATGTTCTCTGTATGGTTCATGATCGCGTCACCTAGGTTCATAGTCCAAGACGTTATTATCGAATTCAGATTTGAATCCCTCAGACGGGACTAGTTCTCTCAAGATTAAAAGTACAGTGTTTCGACAAATTCTAACTTGTATGTTTTCTAGGTCTATGGTTTCCTGCTGACTACCTCCAATCAGTTAACACTAAGAAATAGTGCACAATTAATAATCAATTAGACTGATGGCTACATAGCAACTTGATCCGAGAAATTCAATCATGACTAAAAGACTAGACAGGTATGACGCTACTCAAGAATCACAGAATGTGAATGCTCTGCCATTGTACCGATCAGGTTAAGAGTAACTTTCGAATTTATCCCATGAAATATAAGCCGTTCCACGTGGACGTCATTTAACAATATGTTCAGCATCTAATATTCTATATTATACAGACTATTGTAATTGACCGTTCGTTAAAACACTAGTTTAAATCAATTAAAACAAATCTCAACCTCCAAAGTTATACTGTTCTAAATAGAAAAGGTAATAACATTATACGCAATCAAAGCTTCAAACCTTACCAGATTAATTATTTTTTATATGATACCTCATAAAGCCCTTACTATAATAAGCTGATACATAGGTTATTAGTATTTGAATGATACTTGTTGACTTGAACATGTTTCTGAAACCGTACAGCTCTAGATCTTTCATATAAGTTACCAGAAAAATGAAATGAGTGGAGCTAATCTATGTCGGGTAGAGACAGGTATCTACCTCAGTACAATGGAAGTTGGTCGCGCGATTTCGTGGATTGGTTGATGTTAGACACTATCACCACTGGATACCGGCTTAGTGGTTCAGTAGGTTAAGCGTTCGCGCGCGAGACCGAAGGCCCTGGGTTCGGATCCCGCGAGCGGGATCGTGGATGCGCACTGCTGAGGAGTCCCACAATAGGACGAAACAGCCGTCCAGTGCTTCCAGGTTTCCAAAGGTGGTCTAACATCAATCGGTTTATGATCTCAATCAGAAATGAGTTTAGTTGTATTCATTCAATCGTGAATAGTAATACACAACTCTCACCGCACTAGTTAGAGAAGGCTTTTGAGTAAGTCCTTAGTAAACTATCAGTTGTTAACTAAAACCTGTTTCTGTATACTAAGTGCTATAATTTACTGACAAATGTCATTTAGGTTGGTCTTCAAAGGATGATAATCAAATTTATCGCTACCGACAATTTCATCACCCTTTTTTGGGGGAAAACAATTTTGTTGTTCATTTTTCCTTTTCAAACATTTAATATTATCTCCAGATAACGTTGAATCCAAATTCTGGCCCTTCTAAAAAATCAAGAACAGTGGCTTTCTTCATTTCTAGGGAAAATGATACTCTTGTAGAAGTTTAAAACAATCCCATTAAATTCTCCCTGTAAAAGCTTGTTCGAATAATTCAATAGTAGCTTATTTTGATCTTAGTATTCCCGAGTGATCTTTGTTGAAGTTTTTCAAAAAGTATGAGCCTTCAAGGTGCAAATAATCGCCCAATCATGCATAGGATTATTTATGTAACATTTGTATCTACAAACGTCCAATATGTATATATTTCTATGTGGTTAACTATATAGAATAAAACAAGCTTTATATGTCGCAGAAATAGTTTACGATTTCCTTGACTATAACTAGTTAGGTTAAATATATTCAATACTTCATAACCTAAGTAGAAATTGAAGAATCATCTAATCAATCAGAACTGCTTATCTATGTTCACAAATTACCCTTAACCTATTATTGTTTTCTATGCTGTTTTCATTTAGCGCACTATTAGTGATATGATTTATAGCACTGAGTATATTCATCATGTAATAATACAATAACATTTTATATTTCTTGTTGTCGATTGGAATTCCATCTTTTAAACAAAAATCATCTAAACTTTCGATATTTCAATTCCTATTCATGTTAAGAATCCAAATTTGCATTCATCACAGCTACTTTTTGCTAAAAATAAAAAGATTCTAAGACTATTTGGATGTTTCCATTCCCTATTATTAAATCATATCATCTACATCACACACACACACACACACTTAATAAACTTACTTATTAAAGCTAGACCAACATGGAAAACCTGTAAGCACCGGACGGCCGTTTCGTCCTAATTTGGGACTACTCAGCAATGGGCGTCCATGATTTCGCTCGCGGAGTTCGAATCCAGGATCTATCGGACTCTGTAGTGGTCATGCTTTAATTGATTCATGAATTCAACTATTAAATTACTAAAGTCTCCACGAAACTTCCTCCTGAAAGTGACTTA